AGTCCTAAACAATCGACTACAAGAGGCAGCAGGGAACTGGGTACAGAACAGTTGTTTCCTCCGTGAAAGGACGGCAGGGACGATTTACTACTACAGCAGGATGGAGCACCATCTCATTTCCACAGGCACGCAAGAGCGTTAAACGAGCAACTTCCACTGCGGTGGATCGGACGCGGGATGGACGGTGATCAGATGCTCTTATCTTGGCACTTTTTTCCCATTGGGATAAGTTAAAGATTGAGTCTTTAACCCTTCTCTCCTGACGAATATTCTGGGACTGAAGCAGCGCATCAAATCCATCTTCCTACGCATCAATGCTGAGATGTTGGAGCAAGTTTGGGAAGAAGTGCACTATCGGGTGGATGTGTGTCGAATGACTAAGGGCGCCCATATTGAGAATTTGTAACGTATGTAAAAAAACTTTGAGTTCCTGTTTACCAAAAAATAATGTTCATATTGCTAAGTCAATTACCCAGTGTATTATGATTTTTTGAAACTCTGACAATCATTTTGAATAATCCTGTATAATACATTACGCCGCAACACAATTTACAATCATGCGTAACTCCGAAACGATGAGTTATGGAACCTTTTGTGTCTCCATAACACTAGATATGATTTTTAGAAATGGACACCTTATGATGTTACACTGAATAACATACAATTCACTGATAATGTTTATTATATACTTATATACTGTCACTATTAAAATTGTATTTTAACAAATACCAAATGTAATTGAAACAAAGAATTTCATTAAAAGTACTGAATTGTTCCTGTTCCTAGAAGTAGGGCAATAGGTCACTTGAAAGGTGTAAAAGGACATTATTGGATTTATTCGCTTTGATCATGATACCATACTGAAGTCATTGGTAATTTGGGCACGTTGCATTGTTTTGGTAACCCTGAGGTTGAGCCCTTCAAGTCGGTTGAAGAAGCCTCTGATGCAATCTCTCTCCCCATTTGAGCGTGTATTATTCGACTGATCTCATAGGTTACATTGGCATGCCGATAAACCAAAATCAAAACTTTTTATTGGTTAGTTTGAATGTCAATGAAATGTTAATTTTTTATTGAAGAATCAAGTATTGAATAGAATTGGCTCTACCTGCTCCTCAATTTATTCCATGATAGACATTTATACAAATATAGGAATATGAATGTTAGAAATAATCGGTCGCCCTTGACATGAAAATGTTTTTGTACTTGTAGTTAAGAGCACTCGTTTACTTTGAATGCCATGGTATCCAACATGTTCTCCTCAGAACATGAACAATAATCGCTTGTTTTCTTACTATTTCTTAATTTTCTATAATCCGTGAGCAGGGAATTAAAAAAAATGAGGAAGTTACTATAAAAAGGGCGTGTATTGAATTTTCATGTTTTGAAATAAGGTTTGAAACATTTTCATGGCTTTAATTTTTGAAGGATAGGTTAAAAATTTATAAATTCCAATCTTTATTAAAACGTGTAGAAGTAAAGGTAAGGATTTGAAATATTTTGCAATGTTTATTGCTTTTCTTCAAATTAATAAATAAATGTGTGAACTTATTATTAAGATTATACGCCCCTTTTAGCGTGATGCTAGCAATCCATGTTTTCTGTACGCCCTTCCTAAGTAGATGGTATTGTTTTATTGTAATAACGAAAGACAGCAGGGCTACTTCATCTTACACAATAAAAGAGTTTCTGCAAAGTTTTTATATAACAGAAAGAAAGTAAACTGATGACAGCTTGTGTCATCAAATTAAAAAGCATAATAAAATCTGAGGTAGCTACTGGCCATGCTGCGAAACAATTTAATATAAACAAATAAATAAAATAATAAGCAAGTGTATGTACAAACCATAAAAGTTAAAAATAAAAATTAAAGCTTTATTCAGAATTAGATTCTTCTAAATTTATTTCCTGTTTTTATTCCTCAGCCACTTTCACAGGACCGATTCATGAAAACCTTGAATTACGTAATTGCAGCCTCAATGTCAATAAACTTGAAAATACTTTAATATTTTTAGTGAATTGCAGCGAATAAGATCTTCCACTAGCAATACCTCCTGCAGTTACATGGATATGCTCTTCTTATCAGTAATCAAAGGGTATTCGTTTGAAAATCGTGCGTTCTCCCCAGGGTGGGCGCACAAGTACACTTTCAAGCTGAAATTCGGACGCCGCCGGAACGCAGAATCCATCACGGGCTCCACCTCAATTAAACCGGAGCGGGGCCACTGTCAGCTCAGAGCTACTAGCTGTCCGGGCTAGCACCGGGGTCTAATTAAGCGCCACTCACAATACTCCGCGACGAGTACTAAATCGCGCCTGAGTATTGTGCACTGCCGCGACGAAACCAACAGCCCATCTGAGGGCCGCCCAGACCGAGGGTCGGATGGCTCGAGGCCCTCAATCCGCCTCCTCACTACATCCATTTTGAAGCTATCGACGTGAGTACCGCCGAAATCGAGGCAACCTGACAGGGGGATTCATGCTCCTCGTCTGACTTTCGTTAGTGGGTCTGGGAGCAAGTCCCACGCCCGATCCTGCCCAAAGGTCTGCGGGTAGGGGCCCAAATGGTGGGTCGCAGGGCAAGCTCGGCAAAATACCGCCTTCTCACTGCGCTCACCGTGGCACTATCGACGAGAGTACCGTCAAGAAACTCAGGTCCGGGTGGACTTTTCCGCCTCCATCAAAAACCTCACATCTTGCGACGCTCTGCCCCCCCCCCCTGCCGGAAACAAAGAATATTAAAAATCCCGTGTAAGGTGTTGCTGCTGAGAGGACAAAGTTCAGCCTTAGATATGAATGTATTTTGAAGGCGGAGTTGTTTTCTTGTGTTGTGTTCTTAAACAACTATACGTCTCACCTTTCTGGGTATTTTGTAAAAGTAAAGAAAAAATATAACTCAGGATTCTTTCCTTTATTTCAGCTGCATGTAATTGCAGAACCTTTCGGCTTACGCATTTTTATTTATATGCAAGGTGAAAATGTAAAATAATTTGATTGGAATATACCAACTGTGTCTAGAACCATGTCCAATAAATGGCTGGTTGTATGCGCTCGCAACCTTAACTAGCCCAAAAAAGAAAGGGCCCAGCTGCGCTGCGTTATAATAAATATACTGTTGTTAAAATATTGAAATATTTATGGTAGGTTTTAGAGGCTGGTTATTTTAACAATTTATTCGTATCTTTTGTTTATATCATTCACTGAGCATCTGGTTTAATACTTTAGGGAACAAGTTTGGTTTTTCAAAACATCACTCACTCGATTTATTCCTTGAGTAATAGAAATGTCTGCTGGGAATAAGACTTGTATTCTTTCAGCAAATTCCAAATCCTTCGGACTATAGACTGGTGGTCTGAAGCGAATGCCGCGCTCTCAGTGGAAGATAATTCAAACCTCAAGTAGGTCAAATGGGGAATTTTGAAATTAATACAACGCGAACAAATGCACGTAATGTATCTGCAGTCGAATTTAAATAGAATTTTAAACTTAATTTTGAAATACTAATTTGTTTTATTTACAAAACTTAGTCATCTGATTCAGTCATTCAGTCATCTGATCAGAATCTACCTCAGAGTAGGCAATTTTCGTCCATGCATGGGTCTGAAAGGAAAACACAATATTTCTGTAGAGAGTTGATATTTGTGGGTTGCGCCTTTTCTCTAAATTATTCACCGTTTAGTTTCTTTTTGTTAGATAAAAAGATACCCTCTTTTGTGAAATTTGATAAAAGCCTCGGTGAATTTTCTGACAAAACTACAATGTCTGCACCATTTCTTTTATCTCTAATGTCCAAGTATTACTTTTAATCACATGTACGTAGGTGCTCTGCAGGGGTCCAAAAGGAAAAACATCCTTGATGCATTTTTAAACCATCACAAAATAACTTAGCATCTCTTGTGTTGCAGACAGACATTCATAAAACATTAATTTTTACAGCAATTAAAAAAAAGAATGGTTTGCCTATTATTTCATCCCAATTATTGGTAGAAGATTCGCCCGAATATTTTTTCAGTACATTCATTTCAAAACTTTTTAAAATACGTACTATATCAATACTTAATGATTATAGTATATCATGTATAGTTGCAGTCTAATAATATTGATGCAAATTTAAATATAAATATAAAAAGAACATTCTGCCTTTTCAATTTTATTCACTACTCATATTGAATCTTAAAAACACTTTGCAAACTCTTGAAAGCAATAAATATGTCAATAGTTCACCATACAAAAAAAATATAATCAATGAGAAAGTAGTGCTCGGCGACCTTTATATCATTGTGCATTCAAACCAAGATTGTACCAAATTGTCACAAAGAAAAATAATGGGAATTTAAAAAAATAGACCTACCTAAAATGGACATATTCAGGAATACCGCCTTATTACATAGACCCCAATTTTGAGACAATTGTCAGTTTTTACATTGCAATTACTTTCTAAAATTCTTGGCTAAAAAAACTACCTTCTAAACCACTAGCAAGCGATAAATAATTGAAGTGTCCATTTGCGACTACAGGACTATGTCCATATGCCCCAGTTTGCACTTTCGTGCTTTGATTTCCATATGATCATACAAATGACAAGTGTGGTGACAAATGAGCTTTTGGTTAAGAAAGTACTGGCGTTTCCTAACCTCAAAATATGAATAAATTGTTTTAAAAGTTTCGACGCTTATTTAAAAAAAGACACTTCTATAATGAAGGCATAAGAAATTAACACTTTCTTACCTCTTATATTGTCGGGAGTAGATGGGCAGTCTAAAAAGAACAAACGAACATTCCTTGCTGTACTTAAACAACGGTGCATTACAACACATTCAACACGAAACGGATACCAACCATCAAAACTAAAATATATTATAACCTTGTTACCTAGAATGAGTCGAATGTGGTTTTGTTATTTTAGGGATTAAGGAAGTATGTCTGCCTTTAGCAGGAAATATCGGTAATTGGAAGAGGTTGGTACAAATTTAAATACATTACACGAAAACTTCATGGAGAAAATTTATTCACACCAATTGTAGGAGAGATATAAACATTCAAGATTCAGAGTAAATGGGTGTAATTGAACATTTTTAATATTCCTCGGCTCCTTCTCCTTCACCTTCCACCGAATCCATGCCAACCTCTTCGTAGTCCTTCTCTAGGGCCGCCAGATCTTCACGAGCTTCAGAAAATTCTCCTTCTTCCATGCCTTCTCCTACATACCAATGAACAAAAGCACGCTTGGCATACATCAGATCAAACTTATGATCCAAACGAGCCCAAGCTTCAGCAATAGCTGTTGTGTTTGACAACATGCAAACTGCTCGCTGAACTTTGGCCAGATCTCCACCAGGGACAACCGTAGGAGGTTGGTAGTTAATGCCAACCTTGAAACCAGTGGGACACCAATCTACGAATTGAATTGTGCGTTTCGTCTTGATAGTAGCAATAGCAGCATTTACATCTTTCGGAACTACATCGCCACGGTACAGCATGCAACAAGCCATGTACTTTCCATGTCGAGGATCGCATTTTACCATTTGATTGGCAGGCTCGAAACATGCATTAGTGATTTCCCCAACAGACAGTTGTTCGTGGTACGCTTTCTCGGCAGAGATGACGGGAGCGTACGTAACCAAAGGGAAATGAATGCGAGGGTAAGGGACCAAATTGGTCTGGAATTCGGTCAGATCTACGTTGAGGGCACCGTCAAACCGTAAAGAGGCTGTAATAGAAGATACAATCTGCCCAATTAAACGATTCAGGTTAGTGTATGTCGGGCGTTCAATGTCAAGATTGCGGCGACAGATGTCGTAGATTGCTTCATTATCGACCATGAAAGCGCAGTCTGAGTGCTCCAAAGTGGTGTGAGTAGTGAGGATAGAGTTGTATGGTTCCACAACAGCGGTAGATACCTGGGGAGCAGGGTAAATGGCAAACTCCAATTTGCTCTTCTTGCCATAGTCGACAGAAAGCCGCTCCATCAGCAAGGACGTGAAACCCGAACCAGTGCCACCACCAAACGAATGGAAGATAAGGAACCCTTGCAGTCCAGTGCACTGATCAGCCAGTTTGCGAATGCGATCCAGAACCAAATCCACAATCTCTTTGCCAATTGTATAGTGCCCGCGGGCGTAATTGTTAGCAGCATCCTCTTTTCCAGTGATCAGCTGTTCTGGGTGAAACAGTTGTCGATACGTTCCCGTGCGAACTTCATCTAAAAACCAGAAGAATGGTCATCAGTTTTTTTTTAAATAATTCTCATTTATTCACGTGAAGTCTCTTGTGATTTACGCTTACCTACAACTGTTGGTTCCAAATCGACAAATACTGCCCGAGGAACGTGCTTTCCTGCTCCAGTCTCGCTAAAGAAGGTGTTGAACGAATCGTCTCCGCCACCTAAAGTTTTGTCAGATGGCATCTGGCCATCAGGTTGGATACCATGTTCCAAGCAATAGAGTTCCCAACAGGCATTGCCGATCTGGCATCCGGCTTGCCCAACATGGATAGAAATGCACTCACGCTGAAAGAAATATAACCAATATTATTCACAAATTCATTGAATATACTTAGTTCAACGTTAACAATTAGAATAAAACTTTATGATTGACACTTGTGACGTAAGGACACAATTGACATTTCTGTGGAAGTTTTTAATACAACGCATAAACAGATCAAGGCATGTCGCTGAATTGCCACTAGTGAACCGGAAACAAAAGAGCATCTTGAATCCCTCTTCCTTCCCATCCTTGCGTCCCTGCGTACCTTCCACATTCCGTTTTATGTTGTTACGAGTTGTATCGACGTCACAAATTTTAAGTGTGAAGATTGAGTGTTAAGACCTTCCCGACTTAGTACATCTACCGAGTTGTATCTTTTTTTTTTTTTTTTTACTTTTTCGCATTCTACAACGTAATATGGGACGCTATGCAATGCAGTCGCAAAAAAAACTGCAATTTTTCAAGAAAAAAAACCTCATTGTATGACCCCGATTCTAAAATACCGGATAATTGAAGGATTTAAGAAACAACCTTACTCCAAAAAGGTAGATTTTAGATACGAGAACTGTTGCTAGAGCTTCATAGCCGCTTGCCGACAAAAAATTTTTTCTTTAATTTAAAAAAATTCAGCCCCTGCCCGTAGTTATTAGCTCCAAAAGGTATGGGCGATTTTGATAAAAGAAATAGTCCAAGAGTACGTTGTGGTATAAAAAAACATTCCTTTAAATGTAAGTTCCCTCTGATTATTTCTCAACCATAGCTTAACTTGATCTGCAACAAAGTGATAATGTCTTTTGTATAACAAAACTACTGGTTATTCCATTTTTTCCCCTTTAGGGCAAAGTATGCGTATGAAAATGGCACAAATATATTTTTCAATAAAAGCAGTGATTTTTTGAATAATTCAAGAGTCAATTTTTCCGCAGTCTTCTTACAACTACAAAATTACAGAATTTTTCTTTTGAACAAAATCTGTCAATCTATAAAAAGAGCTCTTACAGTTTCTTCAGATTACGAGTAATTTTCGCGTAATTTTGTTTGAAATCTAAGAAAATTGGACTTCAAGAGTATTCGAAGAAAATTTGGAGACCGAGAAAAATAAGGTTTTAAATGTTGCCTTATTTTATGAAATTTCCGAGAAAAAATACATTTCCGAAAAATTGTTCATGACTATTGCAAGATTTATCACGAGCAGATTTTATTCGAAAAAAGTCGTCAATAATATAGTTTTAGAAAGACAGGCAAACATTTTTTTAACTTTCACAATTTTTCGAAAATTCAGATAGTGAAACGAAAATAATCCGTTTTTAAACGTCCTTTGGGCATCCGAAAAAGTTTAATCAAAAAAATAAGAGCCATTTTTAAGAAATCTTTTAAAAAATGTTGAGGCTTCATGTAAAGTAACCCCACACCCCCACCCGCCAATCAAAGTATCGGACAAACTTTCAAGGGTGGTATATGATCTAATCGATGTAGGAATATCAATTTTGGGGACAATCGTGAAGAGTTTTAATAGTGGATAATTGGTTAATGATTGTCTTTTAGAATACACCACAAGTTTGGAAGGAATTATCCGTCTAAACGTTGTTTGACAAAACTGCAGACTAATGTATAAATGTAAAATATACAAGTTGCATTTTATGCGAATGACCATTTTCAATTTTCACAATCATAATGTGGGGCTTAAAGTGATAAAAGTTAAAATTAACGAAATTCTTTCGTTAGGCGAAACGTGAATTTAATACAAGACGCTGCCCGTAAAGGCTGGACAGATGACAAAGGATTAATCTTTTCCAAATGTTTAACAATTCTTCAAATGTGAAGTTTCAATTAAAAATTTAACAAATTTATTCTTTTATTGCGAACATTTTTTTTTTTAATTAGACTAGCGAAGTACCTGTTCTCCAAGAATTATACTTTATCCATTAAACCTGGCCTTTGTCTTCGTGCGATTCGGTTTTAGAGCATTTTTGGTCTAATTTGGACCAGATTTCGTACATTTATTAATAGGCCACTAGAATATTCGTCCGCCTGCCCATTTCTGCCAATTATTTCCCGTAACCGCGCGCCCGCACAAAGCATCCCGTGCGTCTGGTACTCACTGAGCGAGGATCTTCCAACGCTTTAATTCGAAATACACCTCAGTCGCCTACGTGTCAATTAGTCTTCATGAAATACGTGGGTGAGCTACTCCAGTGCACCGAATTTTGCTCGTTCTGCACAACACCAGTCTAAGTCACGAACCACGTGACCACCACACTGGCATTTTGTTTGAAAAGCCAGACCAGACGTCGGCCGCCATGTTGCATAGAGAGCGAGACGTGTTGAGAAACAAGTTACATAAAGTGATAATTTTTAACGAAAAATAAGCCTGTGAATTTAATTGAAATAAACGATGCAATATTTTTTTTCAATGTTTCAATGATTGTAACTATGGTAGACACCTCTCCGGGTTGTAGAAGTAATCTCCCAGCTACGGGTTAATGTAAATAATCTGAGTAATATGAGCAATTAAATTCGTTGTGACTGCGCGAAAAATTTACGCAATGCTCTAGAAATGGATGTGCACAGCCGCCACATTGAACCCATAATGAAACAAAGTTGCCATATTAATATATAAAAATAGTATAAAAAACAATTTTCAATATTTAAATTAAATATTTTAAAAAAATCAATTTTTTTATTTTGTTTTTCCAATTCCTACTCCCCCCCGCCCCACCACGAAAAATACTCCACTTTGAGAAGCTTAACTCTCTGTCTGGAAAACCTGATTCAGTTCCACGGTGACCTAGCAAAGACAACCATATAACCGTTATTCATTCCCGAATAACTAAAGATTTTGAAGAAAGTAACCTTTAAGTAGTCCTTAATGTGAAAGATTATCGGTAATGCGCAGTAACATTCTGTATTATTGGACAAGGCACTTGGCAACCAGAAACCCGGTTATTGATTTGATAATACAATTTGACGTTCACGGACAACTTAGCAATAATCCGTCAGGCCGCGAGCGACACCTGGAGATAATGTACGGATTTTCTTAGCAAGAGGTGCGGGGGTTTTGCCATGACTTACGGATAACACAGGAATAACAATTGTGAACATTGATAAGCTGATCCACGCCACAATTTCTGACTACTTGTTATTGACAACTTTACGACAGAAAAAAAATCCCCTTAGAATTTTTTTTATTACCTCCCTAACTGCCACATTCTTAAGTAAATATGGTTCCAAATTAAAGATTGCATTACAAGAAACAATCATCCACATTAAAGTTGCTTTCCTCTTCTGAATGAGGCAGTAAGTAACGTTGCAGCAACCAAGAGGCATTCGTCCTCGAACCCCCACAATTAATGACTGCTGAGAGGCGTCTAAGAGAACGGGGGCAGCTGGCACTTGTCCTAGGCGCGGACTTCCTGGAGGTCTGATTTTTTTTAAATATTCAAAATATATAAAAATACCGGAATGTTTGAGCCTTTAATAAAGTGTTAAAATAACTAAAAAATTACACACGTTTCTTCAAGGGGGAATATTTAAGTCTCGTTTAAATATATTATCTTGAGATAATCTACACCTAGTTAATGCATAGTTACATACTATTTTACTGTTAAATACAGTGAAATAGTTTAAGTTTACTAGTTTTTAGTAAATACTGAACTGCATTTTTAATATATATTAATATACAGAGAATAAAGCAAAGAGTGAAACCTTTGTTTGAAATATGTGGCCCCTATGGATCTACTGCACCAGGTCTCTTGTTTTCTCCGAGCCCTTTAATAACAGACGCTTGAAAGAAGGAAATTGCTACAGAAACCCATGAAAAACTCGTGAATGTAGAAAGTTCTAGTATGCTCCAGTTGTTCCTTGGACAACTACGGTAGTGAATCGGAACATTATCAAGTTAAGTAGTGTAGGCTCTAATAATTTAAAATAGAGTTCAATATACTAAAACCGATTTCAAACGATCAATATTATTAGTAGAAAATACAAAAAACAAATACTATCTTACATTACGTTTCATTTGATAAATATTGGTCTTTTGAACTAATTGTTTTTAAGTATTGTAATACTCTTAGAATACATTTAATTAACGTAATGAAGCGAGTGATATTTCACAAAGAGCTGAAGCAACATTATACTGCCACTCATACAATGAGACTATTTTGTTTAGAGAGGCTTATACAATTATTCTAAGTGGTCGTTTTCCATGTCGGAAACTGCTTAGTGGTAGGCAGTCTAGCAATCATTCTCCTCTACTCAAGTGTCAATTATTTTAATCGAGCTGCAGTAATTGAAACCCGCAATCCAATGACTCACGCAACTTACTCGGAAGCCGAAAGAGGGGTGATGGAAGGGGAACTTCCATGACAGTCTGCGAAAAATCGATAACAAGCCACGCCCTAATGCATCTCGTAACAATGTTTCTGCCGGCAATGGCCATTAAAGTAATACTACTCTTAAGAGGGTTTTTAATCGTTTTTAGTATGCAAAAACCATTAACATACTATTATACACATGAGAAAGTACATGTTTAATAGCTATCCCAGTGTTACTATTATAACGCATTACTGCAAACCGTCCTTCAACTTCCGCCGCTTGCAAATACTGTAATGGATATTTTCTGCTTCTTTGAAATTACATCAAAAATATATATTATTTCCTACGAATTATTCTTACTTCAATGGACTTACCATCCTGAAGACTTGAGAAGACTAGAAAAACTGTACTTCTAAGGTGATGCTCCGGAGAATGCCGTCACGTGGATTTCCCGAGCAATCGACTGGCAGAACGGCAAGCGCAACTTGCTTATATAGTTTCACAGAAACCCCCCCCCCCCCGACGGTTGCACCCACCACAAAGCCTCTCTCCCATTGGCTGACGTGACAAAGATCTGGCAATGATTCTCACCGCTTTGCCAGTTTGCGTATCATATTTCCATAAGATTGAAATGACATAAATTCAAACATTTTCTATAAAATGTAAATGAATAAAAATACTTGTAAAAGAACTGAACACAACCGTCGAGAAGTTCGGAATCCATGCTGAATAAGAGAACAGCGATCAATACGTGTAGGACAGCAAAGGAGTGGAAAGGGAACATGCGTTTCCATGCATGACCTTGATTTCACACGTTACGCGCATAACGACTTCATTCTAAAACACATTTTGAACCATATACTGTAAAATTTGTAAAACAAAATTTAATGTTTTCCTTGCTTGGATTAATTATATTTTTTACTTACAAAGCTTTATTCCACATTTCTGCTTTAGAACTAACATTTCGACATTGAGGTTTATAGAGTCCTTTGAAAACAACGGATTTTATTTTTGGTATTAACATTCGTTACAGGTATTTAAACATAAAATTTTAAATGCTAGAGAAGCAAAACCATTGTCATTGGATTCAAAGTCGAAATATCAAAAGTACACAGCATTGATGAGGTAAGAAATTAAGAGATTCATTGCATTTTGGGCTCCTGAGCTTCAGTTTCTTCAGATAGTCTCAAAATTCACTGAACACTCGTGTTTCTAGGTGGACTCCAGAAATAAAGCTGCAAACACACAAATTGGTATTGAATTAGTGATTGAAATTATGATTGCAAAATAGTTTTCAAAATACTGTATTTATTGTATTAAGTTTCACAATTTGATTTTAAAAGTAACTAGTGCTACAAATTAATTGTGTTAAAATATCTGTTTCAAAATCAAGCCACCGCACACTGGTTCAGACAGGTCCAAAACCTGGCCATAAAGGCAAACTTCAACGTGCGCGTTCGGAATATTGAATTATCAAATCTTGTTCAGAAGACATTGGAGCTCAATACTTCACCTCAATCGTTTTTGTCTTCCTCGCGGTCTCGTAAAGTTACCATTGCTCGATTCATTTGAATTGATTATTGTTGGCGACAATCGTAAAGTTAAAAAAAGTGTTCAAGTATATTTTTCTTGATTATTTTTGTATTTCCGAATAGAAACCACGTGATTATAAGTTAAGCATATTTTTAAGAAAAAGTTGTTGTATTTGTTATGGCTGAACCTACGGAACGTAACATTAGTCATTATTTTATACAATATATTTTTTGCCCTGCATATTCCTGCCTCAAGTTTTTTTTAAATTTATTTATTTATCAAGTAGACTGACATTAATTAACATTTAGCTGCAGATATCTGCACCTTTTCGTTTTATATCCTTTTTACTGCAATGCTACGTAGCAAGATGTCCCGGAGGTGACGACGACGCCAAGGGGATGTTCCATAATTGAACATAGTATGTGTGTAAATATATAATGGTGGGCGGTCTTGCAAGACGTATGACATTAGCAGTGTCGTAGTGACACACTGGGTGTGTGAATTCAATCGGTTCGCGAAGAATGAGAATAAGCAGAATAACATAATTAAATACTTAAGTTTTTCAGTTATAATCGAAACGGTTTCATCGTATTTGTATTTCCCTCGAGTTCAATCTGTCTACACCCCGCAGACACTTCTCACATGGCCGTAGAGTGCTTACTTTTCTTTCAGTTAATGCACGCATTGGAAAGTAGAAATATAGATTATATTTCGATAACGATAGCGAATATAACTTGTTATCAAATGTTACCAAAAACTTTCGTTGTTATACCATTATTCAATTTAAAAATTAATATAGGGAAAGGAAGAGAGAAGAGATTCGGAGCTCAAGAAAACGAGCGAAGCCTCTACTTCTCGTTTAATTTTACTTTCTCGCGCTTAAGAAGGAACTTCTTAAGAAGAGAAAGGTATACTATACTGCGCGAATAAAAGGCGATTTTTTGGCAGAAAACCTCTTATTACAAGGCCCTGGTAACAAAAAAAATGGATAAATCCAGTTGCTCAATTTAGAAAAAAAGTCTTCTAACGTGTTAACGTGGTGTAGCCAGAATCCATATTTTGTGGGTTCTTGATACCGAAAAATTGATTGACGGCAAAACGTCTGTCTGTGAACAATGCTAGCGGCTAAACAGTTCACCCGATTTTCTCCAGAACTGATATCTCTCAATCGATCTGTCTGATATCGCGTCCCCTTGAATTTGAAACTGATATTGTAATTTGGGGGGTACTTTACATGGAGACCTTGTTTTTGTGGATAGTCTGAAGAACGTGTAAGAGAATGGTGCAGGTCTCATTTTGGTTAAAAACTGATTTTTCGAAAATTGAAAAAACTTATTTTTTTCAGCGTCTTCCTACAAATAAAAGATTAAAGATAGAGATTTTCCCCTAATGAAATCCGTTCCTTGAAGATAGATTTCGTCATAAGGTCATCTACAATTTTCCGAAAATTTCAGTCTTTTTCGCGTGAGTTTGCGTCAAAGTGCAGGGGACAAATACCGACTTAAAGTATAAGCTTTAGTACCACTAGCTACTAAGCGCGAGAGGAGTGAAGGGCAGAGAGTATTAGGGTTAGTAGTAATTGGTCAGCAGTTCTTTCAAATTAAATCTGAAGATCTTTTGCTCATGCAATTCTGTTACACGAGTGTGAGCATTTGTCAAATCTAAAATGCTCCTACATAGTTAGAGTGGGGATTCTAGAACTCAAGAAGATATTTGTACTCCCCTTACTGGCTCGCACTCATCATATTTGATTCGTCACATACGATTAATATTGTATAAGTCAATAGTTATTATTATTATTATTATTATTATTATTATTATTATTATTATTATTATTATTATTATTACATAAACATGACGGCCATAAAAGACGAAGTTACAGAGATTCGGTGTAGTGAATATAGTGGTTCTGGAGTATAATATGCAAAGGCTTAATACATTTTGGCATATTTATGAATGTAATTCTTCTGAATTAGTTGAACTCGTTTCATAAATGTGAAATGGGTTGCTCTCGTGAGCCGGACTGCAGAAAGCACTATAGCACTCTTTGCCAGAAAGAATGTGTGCAACGAATCTAATAATTCAAGAGTTTAAATTTTCTAAAAATAAATTGCATATGTGGTTCTCATATTATAGATGAGAAGCTGTCGGGTTTTCAGTGAATGATAAACCTATGCTTTGCGTTTATCACAGATAATACCACGAGTGCTTTGGAAATGGTCGATAAACTCCCTACTCACGAAGCGAGGAGATTTATTTATCTGAGAATTTCCAAAGCACGAGATTTAATAGGACTACTCCACGAGTGAAATTATGTCCAGAAGAGTTCCAATGAGCCAAATATTGGAAATAACTGAAAGCTATGTTTATATCAGAGGTTAGGTTATAGTACATACGTTGTTTATTGTACATCGACATGGCGATCGATGTATACCGCCACATAAGACAGATCAGACACTGTTTATGATTCCCTAGTAAGGAGGATAGAAAAGCGATAAACTTTTTGAGATCCACCGCCCTAATTGGGACATTTCTTATGTATATTTAAACACTATTGGTTTTAATTTCACGGGTGGAATGATCATTTTAAATCGTTTGTAGTTAAAAGTTTGTGATTAATTAAGGTATTTTTCCCGTTTGAAAAGGGATGATTGATATGTGTGCTCCAAGTCATAAAACATAAAAAGTTGTAAACGATAACCATTTCATGATTTTATCGCACCAGGCTTATCTCACGGTAAAACTCAATAACGGTAGAAAGTCTCCTGTACAGGGTTGCCAGGTTTGCTTCCAAAAAACAGCGGACAAACGGGGAGGGGGGATTGTATTTTTTTAAAGTTAGAATTAAAATACATTTTTCCATACAAACATTTTAACACATTAAAAAAATAACTTTAAACTACTCAAAATTAAAAACATCAAATTTGTTATAATAATATTAACACACATTTTACTTTGCTGCCGTGTGTATTTTCATGTGACTGCACAGCTTTGATTAATTCTTTGTGTTTAAAGAATAATTCTTTAATTTCAGTACAACGTTGAGAAAAAAATGAAAAAAAGGTGTTATAAGATAAATATTACGTAAATGTTATATACTTTTATTAAATGTCTTGTGAAACAATTGAGTACGATTCTTTTTTTTAGAATCGTAATTGATATATTTGTGAAAAAAGCGTGCCTTTTTGTTAGTTATGAGAAAAGCGGACTGCCCGCTTAAAAAGTGGCAATAGGTGAGGGGTGTGGCATCCAATAGAAAGCTTCTATACCGGGTCCCCCTCTCTTGCCTGCTAGTGACCACAGGTTTTCCTTTTTTAATAGTGTATACATGGCACATGGCAACTCAAAACCCCGTGGAATCCTCGACGGGTGTCTGTTTGGGAAACCCTGTTACTAATGGCGTGGAGCCCCTGGCTCCAGGAATATAATATACACATTCAATGACTAAGAAGGACCAAGAGATGTGTAACGGAAATGAAACAAAAACTCTTTACTTGTCCGTATAACATTCTACAGATATGGATTATTGTGATTTAAACAAATTTGTGTTTTGTACATGGAAAAAAATAGTAATTATTCATGGCTGTCAATGTAATTATCATTTGAAAACACTCAGTTTGTTCAGATATATGGTAATATTAATGTCTGAAGTATTAGTAGAACAGAAATCACAAAATAATAATAATAATAATAATTATTATTATTATTATTGTTGTTGTTGTTGTTGTTGTTGTTGTGTAACTGATACCAATAATACAAGAAAGTAGAATGTGCTTTGGTAGCCTGTTGTGTTTTTTAATTGAAATTAATATATCATATCATTTCTATTAGGATATTGACAACTGTATGTAAATAAATACAATTCCTAGAATTAAGTTGGGAGAGAAAACAAAAGAAGAAGAAATGAAAAAAGAAAGTGAAACGAGAAAAAACAAACAAGCTAGTATTGAATAAATTTGAATATACACACCGGATATAAGGACCGACATTTATAAAGGATTCTTTCTGAGGGATATTATGTCAATAAAATTTTGGGGATTGAGTTTGTAACAAATTTACTTCAGACAAGCCTGTTATCATAAATGGAAGGATCCAGTAATACAGTCTATTTTGCAGTATTGAGTCCTCCTGGGTTATCCAAATTGGAACCTACAATTACTTGCAATTTATAATGAAGACATCTTTGTAATGACTATTCACTCCAATACAACTATTTTTTTTTTTCTTGTTTTGTTTTTTTGACTAAACTACTGCCAACAAACAAACTGTAGCTCTGGTAGTGACCATGACACTCATTTTACGCAGAATACACTAACTTTCATTTAATAAATATCACAGTTACTTCGGTTTCACAAGTGGAACTTACATAATAGTCCATTATGTTTTCACACAAGTATTACATAAACTAACATTTGAGAATTACTCAATGTTCATGGAACAATGTTCTTGCACATGCTTATACTCTTCACTGTAGACAATCCAGGAGAACTCTTCATTAGGTTTGTAATGTCAAAGAGAAAAAATATTAATAATTACATAAAATTTGTACACCTAAATTAACTAGTTATTATGTACAACAAATTAGGGGATCAACAAAGAAATATACACCACAAAGGTAAACAAGTAATACTTTTAAAATAAGATGAAGTATTAATTTAAAAATTATATAAAATATTGAAAAACACACTGGAATGATATTTAAGTTTGAGATTCAAATTCAATGCTCTTTCATTTGAACATTCACTCTGTAGCTTTTAAAAATTCACTTGTTTCCAAATTGTCTTCTATCTTCAAATTCTTGCTCAGTTAGTATTTCCATAGGCTGTCCATGATTTTTTTGTAGTAGTGTGTTTAAATTCAGGAATTTTGAACAGGCACAATAACACCGGTTCCCAGTTGAAGAAAATTATAAACAAGTGGTGATGCAACATGAATTCTTCTATTCATAGATGACAACATGCTTCACTGAACATTACACAATTACAACAAATTGGCATACTTAACAATGGATTTACTTATATGCAGGAGTGTATCAACTTTTTTGTATCATATGAGAGATTTTGGCATCAATCAAAACACTGGTTTATGAAAACTGTTATGAAGAGCAATAATCAACTAGTTTTACAGTATATGGAACCTAAACTGTTGGTTTACATCTTTGATATTCTGGTAATTTTTTGCAAGTACATTATTCATAATTATGATTTCCAAAGGGCACATAAATTTTACATCACATGGAATAACAAAAAAATTAATCAAATGACTTTTAAAATGCAATTCTTAGAGATTAATGCTTTGGGTTATACATTTTTTTAAACACAAATTCACTAATGTAAATTGACTAGTACATGAAACAGGTTCTGATACAGTATTGTTTTCAAAAATTTTGCTTAATTTGATAAACATAGCTTAAAATTAACAATACATAAAATGCGATGATAAAAATACAAATATCACTGTTACAAAATCAATATCATTCCTAGATTGGAAAGTTGTAATTCTGTGCAAACCATCATAAAACCAAATCAAAATCAAATCTATCAGGAACATGGTATTGGTCATGATTTACAATCATTCAATGTTTTTTTCTCATTAATGTGTATTTTTCAACATCAACATCATTTTTCACTATTACATTATTCAAGAAGAGAGTACATAATGTCATCAAGAAGAGAGTACATAGTGTCTATGATAAAGACAACTGATACCTTCACTCTATACATTTCATCTTCTGTCTATGAAGAATTTGAATTCATCACACACAATTTCACTTCGGATTTATAAGCAGATTGAATTATTCTTTATAAGAATGTAGAAAGATACATCAATTACTATAACTGATTAAATTAGTTTGGCTTTTTATTAACGAGGTTAGCAGAAATATGCTGTAACAGTTTCTGTGATCTATTAGTTTGATAATTTTACAACAATGTATCCTTTCAAATGTGACTGTGGTAAAAGGGAATATTAGTGAAATCAAAATCTCTCATTTCTGATACATAATTTTAAAATTTAGGATACCTTTCACTGTATGGGCAGTAATCCTTAACTGGGGTTCTGAGGTCCAGAGCCCATTCGCTGCTGCACCAAATTAATGAGAACATCAGTATATTGTTGCATCATTGACATAACATTAGCCTGATCACCAGGCACAGCTGCTTGACCAACAGCCATTAAATCTTGTAATTTACTCGCCAATTGGGGATCTGGCTGACTTGTGTCACAGAACTGTCCTGAATTTGTGGCTACTAATCTAAGTGTGCGCTGAGCTTCACTAGCTGCCTCCTCCAGTCCTCTTAGCATTGCACTTTGGTCCACCTGTTGTTCCCCTTCAAGGGCTAAACGCTTGTACAATTGCACCACACTGTCTGCAGCACGTGTTAACTGGTCAGCCAGAGAAGAACACAACTGCTGTGACACTGAAAAGAGAAATAAATGATGTTAATATGCTGATACATTTTGCCCTACACTTATCTTAATTTGTTGCACGTTCCTATTCTCCAATTTAATTATACTGACATCTGAACTTCACCCAGCTGGAATACGGTTGTCCAAGCGAGATATTCAAATCAGAAAAATTAGGTCACAATGAAGCTACCAATTGGATAACTACGTGAAGCTGATCAAAAGACAAAAATCACTATATTTAGATCAGAATACAAACATATCAGTTAAACAGGAAAAGGACAATGGAAAGAAGACTAGTTGTGCTACAACACCACACATAATTCCTCACAGTCCTAAAACCCACTTAATAATGTTTTTTCAATTTATATATCACAAGAACGATTACTTATGTTTACAAAAGACAAATTTATACATTTAAATAATATTAAGAAATTCATTGCCATGAAAGCTTCTTAGAGCTTCAATTACATTCTTTAAATCCCACAATAAATATTTTTCTCAGAATTCACAAGTTCTACAGATCATAACTGAAAATATATTTTATTTAAGATACTATTTATTTTCTTAATATTGATATTCATGGTTTGATAAAGAGGCATTTGCATGTCTTCACATTATTATAATTTTACACATCCATAGTTTCAATTTAAAATCCCTGATTATGGGCAAAATTGGAAAAGATTTCTCTCCATCTTTCACAGAGAGAGAATTGGGATTTATGCCCAATATCAGCAAAGAATGTCAAATGAAAATAACAAGCCAGAAAACTAAAACACTAGCCTTCTTGGCAAAGAACACCTTAGAGCCCAAATACTAATAGAAAATTCTATAATTGAACAATTTTCTACTTTTAATATCTTGGAAATTCAATTGGATTGAACCAGAAGGATAAAGAAGAAAAATACAAAAATACAATAGAAACAATGGAATAATAAAGAGACATTTTGGACATACGAGAAAAGAAACAATCTATAATATTACATCAAAATCAAGGCTAAAGTATGCTTCAGAAATGTGGATAATGGGCATAAAGGAAACCAGAAGCATAGAAGTAGCTCAGATGAAGTTTCTAAGGGCAGTGTTAGGAGTAACAAGAAGGAACAAAATTCAAAATGAAACATTTGGGAAAGAACTAAAAACAGTAAACTTAGCAGAAGAAATAAAAAAATTGCCAAAGAAAATGGAGAAAATATATGAAAAATGGACAAACGACCATGGATGGCATTAAATTACAGGCCGAATGGGATAGAGGCAGACTGGCAACAAGATGTGTACCAGTAGGAACACTTCACCACATGAAGGAATACTGCTTTACAACCCACTAATAGGACAGGAGCACTGCTCCTAAATCGAAGGTACTGATGATGATGCTCCAATAGAAACATAGAAGCTTAACCTTCAATATTACTCTAGTTAGAGTCTCAACACATAAGAGCTTAAATATCAGATCGATTGTATTTAATTGATCTTAAATATTGATCAAGCATAAATAACATTAATTGCCCACCTTCAGTACATCATTTAATTATGTATATCACATACTGATCCATAAACGTTTAGCACTTTGAGATTTGCAGACCTCATTTAGAGTGGTTTTGCAGTTATTTATCTAATTGTGTTCAATTTGTATCATATAAAAATGTTATATCTAGTTTTATTCACATCTCCACAGGAATCATGTTTGAGACCTCTTTTGTTCAACATCTTTATAAATGACATCTGTGAAGTTGTTATTGATGTTAGTATCTTCTATTTGCAAGTGAGCTTAAGATCTGCTTGAAGGTCCAATAAGACACTGTCAGATTACTTCTTCAGAATACAGTAAATGCCTCGTAATACCAATGCACTCATAATGATCTTTATTTCAATGCTTAAAAATTAGTTTCTCCTTTTACTACATTCCAATCATTAGCAACCCTCAATTATTCTCTGAATCCCACTGTGCTTGAAAAGGTTACAACTGTAAAGAGACTTTGGTGTGATATACGATTTTGGGATAACTTTGTCAGATGAAATACTGCGCACCATTACCAAATCAATTTGAATTTTGAGTTTTATTAGGTCTAATGTCATAAACTGCACTCAAATTGTAATTTTGAGATTGATATATCTGATGCTGGTTAAACCATGTCTGCTGGTTAAACCATGTCTGCTGGTTAAACCATGTCTGCTGGTTAAACCATGTTCTTGTCAGTTGTCAGGTCGCCCTTTCTCACATTTATATATCCAAAATTGAAACTATGCAACATACTTTTTTTTTTTTTTTGATTGATTGATTGATTGATTGCTACCTGATGACTGGGTTTTAGCGATCCTTTTCTTGACCATGTTTACAAAAATATTGCATTAAGATTTAATATAGCAATACTTAAATCTCAGCAGTGCTTCACTGTTTGATTGTCCAAATTGATTAATAGCAGTACTGACTGCCTGCTTTTGTTCAACCAAATAATGTAAATAACTTCTAACTTCAATTCAAGAAATAACAACATTTTGGTTATTAAATTATATAAACATGCTTACACAGCCAATACACTTGACTATTTTTGCAAAATAGCTAACTCACTAAACATTAACTTGATCAATGAAAACAACACTAAATTTTTGTCAAATCTGGGGAGCATCTCATTGACATGATCTTATTTTTTTAAAGTACTTTTTATATAATTTGGATAATGTGTTTTCAAATTATATTATGCACTTTTATATTTTTTGTATTCTCATGGACAAATTGCCCATTTATTAAATAAATAAATAAATAAACAAAATTAATGGAACAATACAGAAGAGCAAGTCTTTACATGTAAAAAATTCAATAATATTTGAAACCATTAAGTGGACTTCTTTAATTCTTTATCTTTTAAGATAAAAGGATACTTATGTCAACTTATGATTATAATTTAGACAATCATACCACAATATACAAAGATATTAAGTAATGTGTGGGTCACCTCGGGAGGATCTATGGAGAACCCAAAAAGAAGCAAGAAAGTTCATGTTAATGTATGATCTGCTTCCCATGATTTTCAAATTATGCATTTACTGCAATTACACAGTCAACGCTGTTGCACGTTTGCCAGCTACAACTATGCTTTTGCATTTTTTAATGTTGTTTTTTGTACGTGGGGGGCACTTCCGAGGAATGGGAAGATGACTTCAAAACAAGTGAAAAAATTCATATACGCTTACAGTATATTCCCATGATTTCCAAGTTACACACACTTTTTGGTTCCACAACAAATGCTCAAATGGATACCATTAGCTATAACATAAGCATTTAACCACAGCATTATGGATTGTCCACATTGCAGATGTGTATTGTACTTGCTGAAATCCTTCAACACACTGGTGAAGAATTTCAATATTTGCAACAGGTGTTGCATACACAATGTTCTTTAAATGTGTCCATAAGTAAAAATCCAATGGGTTGAAATCACATTGAGCAGGCCATGATGTTGCTAGGTCACAACGTATCCATTTATTTGTGAAACACTGGTTTAAAATTGTTCTTGCTTGGTGAGAAAATGATATGGTACCCCATTTTGCATGAACCACATGTTCTAAATTAAGTGTAGTGGAACTGCTTCTGGCAAAACATTCAAATTTTCCGTTAAAAATTAATTGCATTATTCTCAAGTCAATGTTCTGTGGAAAATAAAAGGTCCAATTCACTATCTCCAATTATTCCAGCTCACATTCCTACTGAACTGTTGGTGTCTTGTTTCCTTCCAAAACTGCATAAGGATTTACATCCACCCATATGCTAGTGTGGTAAAAATTCTGGACTTTGTTCCTGGTAAACGTTGTTTTGTCAGTGAAAACTAAGTTAAACAGAAAGGTTTGGTCCCAAGTCAAAGCCAAGGTAACCAAGTACAAAAGCTTTTCAGGGTGGAAAATACGTTAATACCCTGCACCTTTTGAAGATAGAATGGAGTTGTTCTCATAAGATTATCCATACTGTCACATGACCTCACATGACACATTCTCAGTTACTGTTACATCTATGGTACTGCGACCATTATTTTTGTAAATAAAATGAAGTACCTGTGCTTCTAAACCAGATACTCTGATACTCATTGGTCTTCCATAATTTGATGATATTTTCTAAAAGAGCCCATCTCCACAAGTCATTCTTGTATTCTCTTTCTGTTTGGTAGATTTCTATTAGGAAATTTTTCATTACATGAATGTCTTGCTTCATATGCAATGCAATTTGTAAGTCCATATATCAGTAGCATGTCTGCCATGTGCTGATTAGAATATATTTTGGCTACACAAACCGAAGGAAACACTAAACTCTAGTTGAATAACAAATATACAGTAAGCTTCCACTACTGCAAGTGTGCTCAAATGCAAGACTGTTTATTTCATATTCACAATGGTATGGTATGGGAGATATCAGAAGGCTTTGACTTCACAATTGACAACATAGCCAACAACTGAAAAGGAAACCTCTTTATAAGCACCTGCTTTCATGAGCCCTGGAACACCTACCTCTACCTCCTTAGTTGAATTAATTAATTGAATTATAGCATCGAAATTTATGTTTTGACAATCTGATAACCAGAAATGTTCACTCCTGTGTAATAGAAACTATTTTACATCAAAAAGCAAGCTACAGATGTAACATAATAGTCCTATCGACAAAATAATCAACCCTTCTCATACCTAGCAAAATAAGGGTTCAAGAAAATGTGTGCGGATAATACCTGTAGAATTTAGAAAAACAATACCAGAAAAGCTTTGAAAACAAAATGACAGAAGCAAGGTTGTAGTAGGCAAATGTGCAATAACAAGGAACTGTCTGTAATTTGGAAGTTATGGGAGGTTAGTATGATAATATGAACTTTTTTCCCCTCTTTTTTGGGTCCTCTTTGCATCCTCCTGATATGTCCCACATATTACTTAACAATCTACTCACTTGAAATTTGTTTATATTATTTTGAAAAATGTTCTATTTGAATTTTGAAAATATCTCCTTATACATGCCATATTTTTGAGTTATGATGGAGAATAATCCTTTGCCGTAATAAAAAATTAATATGAGGTTCGTAAAAAGATTGAATGTCTGCCATCAAAATTCAAGCGTTTGAATGAAAGTGGGACGTCCCCGATTTTATTAACCACTCTTTGTTCAATTCAATTAAAAAATAAAGGAAAGAAAATCACAAACAATGTTAAACAAAATCAAATAACAAGAGAAGCCGTAGGCTTCTGTGACCAGACGCATGCCAATGATCTTGGCTGTGCAGATGATGCTGCTTCGAAGGCTGTGGTGACAAAGTTTCAACCATCTTGTCGTGGTCTTCCTCAGGGCTGGAGAGGTTATCACTTCAGCCCTGAGATCAAGATAGTCAAACATCGGTAACACAGCCTTCAAAGTGGCATCACCTGGACAGCCAAATTCATTAGCATATTAACGTGTGGTGCTGAGTTCATGTCAATTGTCAGAATCGTATTGGACATTTGCAGAAGAAATCTCTGAGTGAAGGCACAAGAAGTAAAACAATATCAAAAACCACAATTTCTGACTTACAGGGAGCACTTGCAACATCTATGATGGGCCTGTCTGTATCTTTGACAGGTAGCTCTTGAGGGCTTGGTTCCAACTGATGATGACGAGCTGGAGGAATGGGCTTGCTGCCAGCAGATGTAGCTCTTCCTCCAGCAGTCAGTCGTTGAGTAACTTCTCTTGCAGATCGGCTCAGATCTCTTTCACTACCATACCGACCATGAAGAGAAGAACTTGCACCACGTCTAGGTGGAGCTTGCGGTTGACCAGAATTTGTTGGGAGGCTTGATGGAGCACTACAATTACAACACTTAGGATTAATATTAGAAATAAACACAAAAAAGAAAAATATGGATAGGAAAGAAAAGACACGTACCATCCATTTGTTCTGTCAATACTTGTACTTCGAGGCCGCATGTTAGCCTTACCAGTTACACCCGATGTTTCTTCAGAACTGGAATCCTCATTGCCCACTTGGCTGAGGTTTACTGAATATAAAGGAAATATTTTAAATTAACGTAGTGAAATTAGTATTATGCAATCATATTTTAAGACTTGAGTAACAGAAGTACAAACCAGAGGAGTATGCTGGTTGCAGACCTCGCCGGCGAGCCTGCGATCCATTCGTGGTATTCTTATTATGGACTTGATTATTTATTTTGTTTTGAGAGCTAATGGTGGGTCGCATCAATCCATTCATTCGTGAGGACATATTTCCAGCATTACCATTGGGTCTTTGTAAACTTAAATCACTCTCTGAATCACTCTACATTTTCCAAGACAAATAAGAGCAATTTTAAATAATCACAGTGAATATCATTTAGAGATAAAATCATTACTTAGGTTTATATCCCACAGTTTTATGTTGATGATGCAAAGACAAAAAACAATATTCTTAAACGTTCACATATAATGGAAAGTTCTAATGAGAAAATTTCTCAAAAAGTGGAGAGAAAAAGAATGTCTTTGTCATACATTTGAGGAAAGAATGTTGAAAATGGCATGTTTCCAAATTTAAAAACTCTCTTTGCAGAAGAAAGATTATTGTGATCACCTTCCTCAACTGTGTGCTCCTAACCAATAGGGACAAAATGTCAAAATGACTATGTTTAGGGAGAACTACTCCATGTTTAATGGCTTGTAACTACGTTCAAGGAGAATTACTCCATGTTCAATGTCAAATGAAGACTCGAAACATAAGTTACGAGAATAACTGTTTTTAAATGATAATAATGAATGATCAGAAACTAAGGAAGAATTAAAATGATAAATATAGCTTACTGAATTTTTCAGTAATCTAGCCATTTACATGACAATTAATTTCCTTTTAACTTCTTCTAAAGACTTTTTTCCAATATTTTCAAATACTAGTATGTAGTGTAATCTACAGGAATGGGTCTTACCTGATTAAGCATGCCCATAGATGTACTTCGAGTCATGTTTGAATTTACAGCTAGAGATTGTTTTGAACTATGCCGAGGTAATGTGCGTGTTGCATTGTTTCCTTTATTTCCAACTTTTCCTGAAACTGTATAAAATTGATTAATGATTTCCACATAAGTATCAAAATAGTTTATAATGTCATAGAAGAAAAATGTACTTGCTTCTAATTTTTAATACAAATTCTTATTTCTTGTACATTTAAGTTTCTACATTCAGACAACATGCAGAAAAAATGGCTAGTTCATGGAGTTTCTATTTTCATTTCACATGATATAACTTCATTCAGACATAGTTCATTTCAAGATAAATTTGGTTTTTCATGCAAAACTAATGACAAACTGACAACAAAATGCAATGTTACGAAACACAAAGCATAAGACATTACATAATTGATTACAAACAAAATACATTAAAAAGCTATTTTCACACTTCAATAAATAAGAACTTCCTTTTCTGTCCCCATGTCTGTATAATTAAAATGATACATTTTTTTTAGGAAAAAGGAGAGAAAAAAATGATACTTCAATTTGAAGCTCCCAAAATAAATTGTAGTTCTTAAAGAATTCATCAATATAAGCCACGAAGCATTCCAAGGACCGCAAACCTGTTATTGCTATTGACACTGTTAACTGCAATTGAACTGAGATTGTTAAAGGATTTTATGCTTTAGATAGCACCTCTCGTTAGCATTTCCTCTTTATATTTGAACCCTTGTAAGTTCAGGACAGAAGATGTAAGAGCAAGTTAGGCCTGAGCATAAGCTAAGTGGCCTACCTTGCACATGGGAAGCATGCAAGATTCTCCGGGGAGTGGGATTGGCTAGGTCACTCAGCGAACACGATCTCCGCAGACTGCCAGAGCCATCTTCCCCATCATCACTGTCTGTGGCGTAAAAAAAAAACAAAAAGCGTGCAGCTAATCTACAGGCAAGCAAAATCACACTAAAATATATGTAACTGCTGAAATATTAGCAAGTGATCATGATATGTAAGCTCTTGGAAACCAAGTAAGCCATGTTAAGGGACTTGGGAACTTTAAACTACTACACAATTGACTTTGCATAATCTTAATAATGGTACACATGCATATATCATGGGTCATATTCCACATTTCAATTACTGTATAAGATCTGGGATTCAATGGTATACAATTCTCTCACTCAATAAGTTGCCAGACTATTGATGATGCAACCTTGAAAAAATAAATTAGTGAAAACAAATTAAAAGAAATTAACAGATTAACAAAAATTGACAGCAATACAAAGGACAAAACATAATAACAAGTAAATACTACACTTAAACAAAAATTATCAGTTAAAGTGAATAACCAACAAAAGAATACTGGGGGGAAAATAATAAAACAAAAAGGAAATATGTATCAAAACAAATTAGGATATAAAAAGTGTGTATGGTAAATTTAATATTCATATAATTTTAATATTTACTAATATAAAATACAAAAATATTGTGAAAAAGTGTGAAGATAACAAATGAGATAAAAACAGAAATGGCAGGAACGTAAGAAGTAAGGAGGAAAGATAGGAATGATTACATAGTAAAATATATAACGAAAGCTGAAATTTCTGCAAAAGAGCAAGAGATCTGAACATGCACACAAAAACAATATGTGAATGATCCTTTCAAAATAATGTGTTTCAACAGTTTTACGATACAATCACCATGCAATCAGTGAGAAAAGAGGTGTGTTTAGTGCTCATGCTGTTACCTGGGCAGCATTTAGAAGGAAGAACTGGCTGTCTAGCAACCAGCCGCTTGGCCAAGGGGCGCTGGCCAGGTGCTCGCGATGCAGGGGGCCATGCACGCTTGGGTGAGTTGGCTGCCGAAGAAGAAGTAGCAGGTGTGGAGGAGCCTGAGCCACCCCCTGCTACAGGGAAACTGTCCTCCTCTAGGTCAGCAATACATTCATCAGACATGTCATAGTCATCCAACACGTTCTCAAAACTCTTGCAGAGTAATTTAACACCCACACTGGGACTTTCATCAATATTTTTGGAAGGATGTTTGTCATCATTTGTTTTGCCTTTATTTGGAAATCTTGATAATTTCTCCACACAACTACCAGAAGTTTCCTGCATCTCTGCATTTTTTTTCTTATCTCCACTCCCTTCTTTACTGGATGTACTACTAACAATTCCATGCATATTCTTTCCTGTGGGACTTGAACCATTTCCATCACCATATCTACCCCACTGACCCCTTTGTCGCATTTGTTGACAAGTTGGTTTCTGCCTAGGTTTAGGTGGAGGTTTGTGAGTGACTTTTCCAGTAGGTTTGGGTGCTGTAGGAGGCCGTTCATTCATCTGTTTACCTGGTATAGTTGAAGTATTATCTTGTAACCCTGATTCTTGTGAGACTTTGCCAAATGAGCTATAATTTTCTACTCCAGGAAACTGAAGTGGCATTAATGTAGGTGTTTGAGGTCGACTCCTTGGATATGAACTCTTTCGGTATGTGTTAGATGCACAGTTTAAACCAATTTTTGAAGGAGTAGGTGGCCTAGATGTATCTAGCTGTTTGATTGCTGTTGCACATGATCCACTTTCAATTGAAGATACTTTTGAAGTTGTGTCTTGCAAACTTCGAGTTCTAAAAATTGTGCGATGCTGATTACTGTCAGAATTTTGCTGTTCTGAAGATGCTTCCTGAGATGTCTCTTTATTGGCAGACGTATGTCTTGAATCAGATATGTAATATTCACTAGTGCTCTGAATTGGGCTTCGAAAAAATTTAACAGCTTCATTACATGAAGGACTTGTTCCCATATTAAAGCCCTTATTCACAAACCCACACTCAATTATCTTCTGTGAAGATCCAAACACTTGACAGTCACTATCATCTGTCAAAATACTCTCCGTGCTTTGATATGAATCTCGATGTCTAGCATGTCTTGATGAGGAAAAGTGGTAATCACTCTCTAAAATGCTTTCAGTACTGCGACAAGTGTCTCGATCAATGTGACACTCACTATCATCAGTTAAAATGCTTTCTTGACTTCGACATGTATCAGGATCCCGGCGTTGAAGAGACAGAAAGAAGCTAGCACTACTATGTCGATCTTGTTCCAATCTAGCACACATCTCTAAAATATCACCACTATTATTATGACTTGTGTTTCCTGAAAGAATATTTTCTTGACTTCGAGAACCATGAGGACGCTGATTAAAAATTTGATAATCACTAACGCAACGACGTGGAACTCGACTACTGAATTCACTTGGTTCTTCAAGAGAATCAGAACTGAAATTTCCATCTACTTCATCATCTTCATTGCAACTATCTAGAAGATTTTCATCACTTGATGCATTAGCTCGACTTAGAGTTGCAGGAAGGGATTCTGAAGATTTGGTGACATTATTACCATCTTTTTTGGTAGGAAATTCATCATCAGCTAACGTATTAAGATCTATGAAATAGCTACATGACCTACGAGTCTGACTAAATCTAGAAGAGGATTTAATTCCAGATTCTGTATCAGTCAGGTTCTGAAATAACATTGTAGGAGATTTCAATTCTTCACAAACTGGAGACTCTGGTAAAGACTGATTTGTTAATGGTGGTTTACTGCACCGCATCTGTCTATATTTATTGCTGCTAGAGTTGGACCGTAGGTTCAAAAACACTGGGCGTCTAGTTGGAGAACTCATGATTCTTGTTTGTGCACGATTTCGGCTGTCAGTGATACTACTAATAATATTAGATCTACCTGCATTCAAAGCTTTTACATTAGAAGTGTTAGTGGCAGCAGTGGAAACAGAAGAGCCCAAAGCATTGTTAGAACAAGACTCAGCAACCCAAGCATTATCATCCTGTGGAGGAATGGGACAATTAGCTCTGGAAGATGGTAGGAGAGAAAGGCGTGACATATCAGTAGATGGAACACCTTCCAATAAGGAAAGAGGTTTTGCTCCCTTCTTCACAATAGGCAATGTATGATAAGAAGATGGCACAAGGCTTCTTGATATTGATGAAGATACAACAGGCAGATTCTTCATTTTTGAAGGTTTAGTGAAAGTAAGATTACTAAATGCAGGGGGATTGTACTTTGGTTGAGGTACGTCAGTCTGTGTTAATAAAGGATTATGGGGAATATTTGATCTTTTACCATTAAGAGTGGTATCAGAAGAATCCTTTAGAGCTGACACTGGAAGAGAATTATAATTTGAGATAGGACTATTTTCCGTTGGAGGAAGAGCAAGTTGTTGAGGAGTTTCTGTTAAGGCATGTCCTTCAGCTTTTAGGCCATGGCCTAAAGGTAAGGAGAGGGGTTTTGAGAGTTCAGACTGCAAGGTAATGCTCATACGGTGACGAATGATTGTAGCATATTGTTTACCTCCAGCAGATGTATAGCGATGGGCATGGTTAGAAGTGGCTGCTCGTAAACCATTACGTCCATCCTTCTCAGGAATGTGACTAAGATCAGAAATACTTTGACTTCCTTTGAGATTTGACCGGTAACCAACCTATAATCGAAAATGTAAAAGAACATCAAGTACATGTAATAAATTAAAAATGAGCAGATTGAAATTTAAAGAAAATGTAATTAAACTAAACTAGAAAGTCAGCATATAATAGGTATGAAATGTAAAGAACAGATATCACCAAAAATTCATCATGTGTTAAATTCCATTTAAGAATTAAACAAATATTTATTACACTTTGAAGTTTCCTCCTCGTCTCTTCAATTCGCCTTTGCAATTCTTCTCGTTTTTTAGAAGTTTCATTATCTGAACGTGCTTGTTTTGCTGCATTAATCACAGCAACATTACGAACAGGAGGCTTTGATAAGGGCGAGCTTCCTAAACTAGCGCGCACTAAAAATTGAGAAGAAATACTTGTACCACCTGAAAAAGGAAAAAAAAAGATTTATTTCACAGGAATAAGTGAAATGAAATGGCCAATTATTAAATGAAATGTAATTTAAATAAAATAATATTTATAACACTTTTGTAGAGTGGCATCTCCAACCTTTTCAACAGTTTTAAAAGTATTATCATATTTACTAATTTGAGGCTTTTTAATTAGATTAGGACATGAAAAAATGTATATGAAATAGCAGACAGAAATGCATCAAATGACACTTGATTTGTTCCAGTGAACCAGAAGAGGTTTGATGCTTAGGAGTGCCAAATGAATGGACAGACAGTTATACACATTCAGTTACTACTCATGTTACTATATGTTGGAAATTAACTGTTATTGTTATATTCATATATTGTTGAAATTTATCTTTCATGAATGTAACTGATAAACTAGTAGAGCAACAACATCAAGCAACTGGCTAATAATGACATAACTAACATTTGTAATTGAGAAAACAAAAACAAATCACATTTATTTTAAAAATGCAGATCGGCAATTGCATAGAACCAATATTGTCCATTGATTCCATACCCACATATTATTGTATAGTTGTTTTTTATTTCCTTTTTATTTAACCTAAAGTTCTCATTTCCAGTCATATCTATTAAATTATCTGATTCAAAATTTTTTTAATACCTAAAATTTCCTTTTTAGTGCTATTCTTTCTTTTACGGCATAATTTGGCACATATTGACAAAAAATACTGTTGACACAAATTTTTTATGAATATATTGTATTTTATAGAAAGTATTGTCATAATAATTTTCTTTTTTCTATCTTATTCTGGTAAATTAAAGCTTGGATTTACAGATACTCCACACAAGCAAATATGACCATAGTAATTCTGTTACAATCGGAGTGTTAATTATTTTAAAATGCCAATTATTTGTTTTCAGTAGTTGTTTGAAGCAAGATCAAGTGAAACTAGATCACTACCATGAGATAAAAAGGCTGGAATAAGCTATTCTCTTGCAGAGAAGCAAGAGAATAAGCTATTCTCTTGCTTCTCTCTCAGCCAGAGGCCCAAAAAGTAACAGTTCATCAGTGTGGGCCTAAACCATAATTCAGAAAATTAAAGTTAATAAATGTATTTTGTAGGACATTTTATCAACTTTAATTTTGTAAATAACAATTGTTTCAATAAAAAGTATAGTTTTGAAGATATAAGTGAAAAACTAAAAACCGAGCGGAATATAAAGTTTATTTTTGCTGTTTTCTCTGTGAAACTGACTTTTTTTGAGGTGGCAAACATCAAATTTATCAATTCATCAAACAATGAATTCAGTAGTCTCAAAAATATATAAAACCATGGGCTGTTTATGAATAAGATTCGTTTACATAAGGGGACACCAGGGGGGCCACAAGTGGAGGAGGTGGCAGATGGGGCAACTTGCCCCAGGCTCCAACTTATCTGAGGTCCAAATTTTTTTTCATTCAAAAGAAAGTTTTAAAAAAAGTGTTCATCTCTAATTCAAATTTAACTCTCAGTAATAATAATACATTATTTCTGATTCATGGAAAAATGAATTCAGTTTATGAATTGACGAAGAAAGGATTGTTTTGTTTGAAATGGAGGGATCCCCATGGAGCAATTGCCTCAAACCCCTGGTTTTCTCTGGGTGCCCCTGAGGAACACTCATTTTAAGCAGCGATTACAAATTTGGCCCTTAATACTGTAAGTTTGCCTAGAGAATGCCACCAGCGGTTATGTTACCAGTGGCTCGTACAATGATGATGATTATAAGGAACAAATATGGTAGGGCACAGTACGGTCATGCGCAGCACGGACTGTGGAACCGGCTTGAAACAGGCAGATGAGGAAAAGCAGGGGAAGATGGGAACATCCATTCCCTGAATGTGGTTTTGTATGTTTCGTTTAATGCAATCAGCAATCTGTCAAAACATTAAAGATTGGGGGAAGTGGTTGGGATAGGACTGGGTGTAGCATGGAGCGAGGAGGAACAAGATGGGCAGACAGAGTAACTGCAACAGGGAAGGAGAAACGTCACAAAGGTGGTGAATGGCTGGGTAAGATGGTATGAGGTAAGTGAAGCAGGAGAAATTGGTATACTCAGCCAATGCTGGGTTTGTCCAGCTAGTTATTTAATATTATAATGTTATATATTTGTACTTACAATTCTCACAAAACTCAATAAAAGAAATTCAAAGTACACAACAATGAAGCATTTAACATACCAGCATCTTTGCTTCCTCGTTCCACATCTTGTTCTGCACCACTAAGAGATTCAAAAGTGTTTTTTAAATATTTCTCTCTCTTTCCCACACGATCAAGACTTTCAGTACTGAAAATACAATTACATTTTTATACTCACTTCAGAAACTAGAAAGTACAAAAGAGAAATGAAAATTGATTCTTATACATACCTCACTGAAAGCATTGACAATATAGTACGATCGGCTGTATCAGCACTAGGTGTCGAACCATCTTCATCATCATCATCACTGTCTTGACTTCCTGATACAGAAGCAGAAACTGATACAACATCTAATAATCGTTCTGATACATGACCTTTCTTATGCCGCCGTTGTGACCGACGAAGTTCTTCCACATCCATTGCATTGACAGTGTAATCACTAAAAAAAAAAGAAGAAAAAAACAACAACAAATAAACAAACAATAGTTATGCCAGCAACTAATATTCCATTAGGAAAATTTGAACATGTAGTAACAAACATTATTCAAATTAACTGAAGTTCTTAGCATAGTTCAAAAAAAGCAGTAACAATACCTTCCTGTTTCTTCGGCAGGAGGATAATAAATAAGCCTCTGGATTTGTTCAGGTTCTGTAGATTCTCCTTCTCCTTCTGAATAATCTTCTACATCTCCATCATGCTCTGTGCTTTCCATGTCCTATTAAAATAGTGAAAGATGAAAATCAGCAGGTTCTAGCGAATGTTAGAGGTATCATTTAAACTAGAAAATGCTAAGAACTGGCTGTGCTCTGCATTGTTAGTAAATTATTTTATCTTTAATACAAAGGCTCCTCACCTCGTACTTGTAACTTCCAATGCTGCTGTCATCAGTGAGATGTCTGTTTCGGGACATTTCACCAACTTCACTGCTTCGACTCACTGACAGCTTTCCACATGAAATCTGCCACAAGAGAATGGCAGGAAAAACATTTTTAAAATTCAATTTTGAATTTGAATTTTAGTGTCCAAAAAGTAATGATAAATTAATGTATTCATAATTTAAGGTCAATGAAAGAAGATCAATTAAGCAAAATTCATCTTCCAAATAAGTATTAAGAAAGGTTAGCAAGAGGCATAAAGAAAGAAGCTAAGACAGAAACAAGAAGAATGAAGTATTTTTCCTTCCAAAAGATTTTAAACAATATTGTCAAGCAATAGCAAGCAACAAAAAATACAAGTGGATAATTTTTAGTGAACAACTTGTCTTGCAATTTAGATGCTGAAGGAAAATTGTCAATGAGCTTGAACCTCTCAAAGAGACCAGCAATGAAATGAAAGTAATATGCTGCATTGAAAATAAGGCAAGAAAAAAGAAGAATCAACAGAGCACAGCCAGTATTTGTGAAATTAGAGCCAACACATGCAAGAATAGAGATAACAATTTTTCTGAAATGCACTATAACTTGTACACAATATTTTTGTGTGCATACTGACATACCTGCTTAGAAACAATAATTGTTTCTTGGCGGAAATCAGTATAATGAGATCTCAGTTCTGTGCCACTATCAATAGAGCTGTCTTTTGAACCTTCTGAATCAGTTCTCTTATCTAAAATAAACAATAATTATGAAAATAACAACAAATTTTGTAGACCATAAAACCAATTTACTAATTAAAAAACTAAATTTATCATACCCTGAGTTAGGGGAATTGGTATTATACTATCACTGTCATACACAGATTTGACAGTTATGCCTCCGGCATCTAGCCTTTGAGCCCATCGACCTCGGGGTGGGTCAAGCTGCTGTCGACTGGACAGAGGGTGAGGAGGCACACTAGTACTGTTCTCTGTCATTTGTTTTTTTGCCCAGAGTGGTAATGGACCCATTGTAAAACGATAATCTGTTCCTGCAGCATCCAACATACTATTGGCATTGGGATCCAACATTTCTGAAGGAGGAGGACCAAATGTTTCATTATCCAAATGAAGTCCATTAGGGATGACAACAGGTCGGCTATAACAGAGAATTTGAACATTCTAAAATTCGGATCTCTATGGTGAGTTATACATTTTAAATAAGATGAAGGAGAAATGGAAGGAATGTGGTTTCCCACTACAATAATGGAAATTGATGATGATGATGATGATGATGATGATGATGATGATGATGATGATGATGATGATGATGATAATAATAATAATAATAATAATAATAATAATAATTATAATTATATAAAAAAATAATAATTTATTAGTGTGAATAAACAAAAGAGTATTAAAATAAGTAAACAATTTTTGGGAGTTTTACCGTCCAGCTCTTGCAGCTTGCTGAGATAATCGTGCATGCATGGTTATTACCATGTCATGAGGCACTTTCCACACAAAAATGCATCCATCACCAGATGCTGAAATGAGCCTCCTGCAGTCATTGGTAAAACGTAATCCAGTTACTAATTCAGAATGACCAAACATCGTGGCCATACATTCTCCGGAATAGTAATCATATACACACAGAGTTTTGTCAGTACAACTAGTTGCTGCATAAATACCACTGTTGTCAAGAACCACCTACACAGTCAAAAAAGCATTAACCACAAAAAAGTCAGAATCATTATGCAAAATATAAACAACAATAATTACATCACAATTTACCTTGATAAGGGAGCCATCTTCACCAACAGATCCTTTGAATGTTTTACTATGTTTTCCACTATTTACATTATAAACACGAATATTACGGTCTTGACATGCCGTAAGAATATGCTTCTGACCAGAGTCTACTTCCATATCATACAGAGTTGTTTTTCCCGCAACATTATGTCCTCGAGAAAATTGACTTTGACTGCCTCCTGGAGTCTGTTAAGAATCAAATTAAAATAAAGACATCAATGTATTTGTCAAAAGCAACAGTATGTAAAAAAAATTAATAGATAAAAATTCTTATGTTGTCCCTTGAAGAACAAGAAAAATTCTTGATGTCATGAACACATTGAATGAATCTTCAAGAATGAAAACCAGACACAAACCAACAGGAAGAGGAAACGAAATTATAGTGGGATATTATAAAAGAATATTATTTGTCATATTATGAAAGAAGTTATATACTGCAAATTCACAATATTCTTACTGAATCTAAAATATTGTTGATTTGGTTAGATACACAATCTCAGTAGTACACAAAAGTTCAATTCATATGTCATACATCATCATTCATAAAATATTACAAAACTCACCATCTGAAGTTGCCGAAATATTATAGATTTATCAGCTCCACAAGATACCATTTGAAGTTGCTCATGAGCATGAAGAAACCGCACTGCCGTAATGGAAGAAGAATGATCATCAAGAGTTTGTTGAAAATTATAGTCTTCATCAACAGAGAAAACATGAATAAGGCGATCTCGCGAGGCTGACGCTAACAGTCTTTTCCCACTCTCTGGTCGACTGTATTCAAGGCACAGTACCTCAGCATCGTGAGCTTCTATTCTACAAATTTCCTGAAGATCACGTAAACTATGTATCCTGAAAAAAATAAATAAATATGTAATGTAAATCCGAAATAAATATAAAATGTAAATCCGAATCACAAAGAAATATTAAATGAATACAACAACAAATGTTTAATTACCATGGCTGTATTTGTACTTTTTGTATTTGTAACAGTGTCTAAAGTATGAGGTGCAGAAAATTGTATCAGGTACCTTTTCCTGGGGTTCCGAAACAAACACTGCAGAGTTGGTCCACATACATTTCAGGTATTATAGCAGAGTAATAAATAATGGTCAACTCCATTCCTGATTTGTAGTGTCAGTGGTATTGTTGATTTGATAGAGAGGTTTTATTTAATGAATTTAACACTTTCAATGCCACTCTGAGGTGAGAGGGCAAACCCTGCTCCAAACTTAGCTTACTCCACTCCCAGACACAGCGACATGCCATTGTGCCAAAATATTTAAACTTCCCTTTTAAACTAAATATTTCACAGCAGCTATGGGTTTTCTCTCGCTGTATTACTAGAGCGTAATTATTGTTAAATATGGTTAATTAAAGGTGTTGTCTGGTATCAAAAATTTATTTTGCTAATGATCGCTTCGATCGCGTAGCTATCATCCTCAGAGCTAAAATTAGAATTATGAAAATAAAATTACATTAATACAAATTTTATAAAATTTTACGAATAAGTTAGTACAAAAAATTATATACAAAATATAGACATTGTATGCATAAGCAAACTGGATCGTACATACCTTGTAGCTTCCAGGCCGAAAACAAAGTTCTGCGGTTTTTAGAGAATGGGTCTTGTCTCTAAAAACCGCAGAATTTTGTTTTCAGCCCAGAAGCTGCAAGGTATATGCAATCAAAATTATCATTAGCAAAATAAATTTTTAATACCAGACAACACCTTTAATTAACCATATTTAATTATTATAAGGTACCTTACCAGCAATCGAATTATTATTGTTTAATTATATTTATTATAATATTCAATTATTCTTGTTTAATTATATTTAATACATTTCAATTTCTTAAGTGTTATTTTATTTATTGAAATGTTCTAATATTAAAGTTGACATTCCTAATTACAATATTTAAGTTCAACTATAATGTATATATGTATATGTAGATTGTTTTTAACTTTGTTAATTACAGGTATATGGTTCTCTTCAATCTCCCAAATGTCTTTCATTAAGATGTTCACAGACTTTGCTCGGTTTCTGATACCAATCTATGATTATTTTATAGTTGCATTTGTGGATAATATCAAAAGTGCATCAAATTTCCTGTATTGTTTGAGGACTTACATATTTAGGTCAGACAACAAGACAGTTGGGAAAATAAATGTGCAAGCATAAAAACAATATTAAGAACAGACAGAAGTCGTTAACCAGACACTGAACTTTACTACAGATTGGATTTTGAGAATGTATGTTTAATAGACCATGAAACAATAATATATCCCCGAATGAAAATTTACATATTAAGCAAAATTACACCATGAATACAAAATTTGAGAGTAATCAAATTTCTAGTATTTATGATAATTCTACAAAATGTCATCTGCATGTGCTAAGTAGTGACAAGGCATTTTTTATTGTTATTTTATTGTTTTTTCATGTTTCTTCATTCTGCCAGCTGGCAACACATGCCCAAATATAGAATAAAGTTTCTATCTATCTGTCTAAAAATTGATTACAAAATATAGAAATGTTAATGCATGGTAAATCAATTTTCCAACTCAGATTTTTTTTCTCCCCTTCTCCATCCAAACTCTCAACTTCAAGCCCTCTTCCTTTACCACTTCTACTTCATTCCCCCTCTTCTTCCTTCCCCTTTCCCAGTTCAAACTGGTGACTCATTTCATACTCCAAATCTGTGTTCTTTCTGGTCTCTGACACCATGAAATACAGAGGCCACCTTCAATTATGTTAAGAAGTCTTTTATGTTATCTAAATTTGAGCAAGAAATGGAGACGCACTTAAAATGAAAGCAGAAATTATTTGTGAGGTTAGTTTGCTTGTACCTGATATAGATATAATTTTAATTTATCTATGTAGTATTGACTAAATTAACATTATTTATGCTGTTAATGATTTAAAGTAGATCAAAGTTAGGTATTAGTTGCTATTTGTAATCTTGTATTATAGATGAAAATGATTCCTGAGGAAGAGGAAAAGAAAATATCTCAAAATGTTGAGATAAAATGTACATTGAAATCAATAAATATATTTTAACCAAATCAAGTGAAAATATGATGTTTTTAATCTACACGTTTTAATTGTGTTTATTGTTTGTACATTTTTAATTGTTATACTGTCAACTGAATGTCTAATTTTCAAATGTTTCATCCAAAAATTTTTAAAGTTCTCACTTTTCAAAAGTTCTCACTCTTTTCAAAATTAAATAATGACCATTTGCTCTTCTCTTCTCTGAGAGTATAAATTTCAACCTCAAAACGTGACAACTGTCCCATTATCGCCCATATTACTTGATTCTCACATATTGCATACAAATAGGCCACATGTTTACAGAGCATTATTGGTAAACATTATTTAAAATGATACCAGGTGACACAGGAACATTATGCAAACCCATACCATAAGTCACACAGACACTTCACAAAGGCCTATGGACACCATTATCCTTGGGCCTATCGGGCATCATTATTCTAGCCTGTCATTAATGAGTAGTTTTTTGTTCACTCTCTGCAGTTCCTAACAGGTTCCAGTGGAAGGCTAATAGCCCTTGCTTACCAACAAAACTGCACATATACATGGAGTTTTACAATAGTTAAAAAAAATATTGTCTCACTTAAATGCATGAACCCAATTATTTTTTATAATGCCTTCTTCCAATTTCCAAATTGTAAAATAACACATAAAAAAATTTGGATGATTATACCTAATATTTCCTGCCCTGTCTCCTGAAGCAAGATGCTGACCATCAGGGCTGACACGAATGGATCGCACACCATTGCGCCCATCATATGAAGTATCAGTCTTCTCAGAAGCACCAGCTGCAGACAAGTCCAGGTCCTTTAGATAAGTCAACTCAGGGTCTACATAGAGAACCTTGAGCAATTCCTGAAAACAATAAAATAAAATATTAATGCAAACAAAATTAATAGTACAACAAAACAAAAATAAACTTTAAAACATGCATAGAAATTTAACATGATAGTTCTGAGTATATAACAGAACAAATAACCAAGAGAAAAGTTTATGCAGATGAAATGAATCATTACAAAAAAAAGATAAGTCTGCTGTCATATGATATTTTCCATATATTTGACCTACAAAATATTTCTCACATAAAGTACTTCTTTACTGGAATAACCAACTAACCAATACCTTCTAGAATGCCCAGCAGAGTTGTTTTGAATCCAAGCCTTCAGAGATATTTCTTAAGAAATGATATTGCAAAAATGTTAATGTATGTCACTACAATACTGAATAATAATAGTAATAATGATGATGGTGATAATAATAATATTTTATAAAACAATTATAAACACATTTTAAATATTTCTTGCCTCTTCATTACTGTTTTGCATGCGAAAAAGTTGAGAGTGGAGAAAAAAAAGAGTTGAAAAGCATTTTGTTCTTTAGCTATTTCTCTTTGCAATAGAAGCAGCATTTCTGCTATTTAGTCCTAATAAGGACCACAGAAAAATGTAATAAATATTGACTTTAAAAGAATAACCAATTTCACAGGTAATACAAAAGTACATTTCCTTTGCACAGTACTTTCCTTTTACTACTGACTCACTATAGATTCATGCTTTATTTGATATATTTCTTTATTTGACATATTTCTTTCCTCAGCTTGTTTCAGTGTTATTGAAATAGCGTTTACTTTTAATACTTTTGGCATTACCCAACATAGAGTATAAATGTGTCTGGGTGTAATATTTAAACCAGACATGATACAGGCAATTGTTTTGAAGCACATTTTGTAGAATACTCCGCAACAATTTGATCAACATCAACTTTATGGTCTGATGCATCCTGGCTATAATTCCCAAGGTGTTTCTCATTTTGTTAAAATAGTAATGTTATCATTCAACAACATGGAATAGAACTGGTACATATTTTTAAAGTTAACCTTCCACAAATTACAATAGGTTGATCCGGTGGCCAAGATTGCTAAGGCAGTAGTGTCGTAGGCATGGTTGTATTGTGTTCATTCTTTCACCCCCTATCATCATCATATCGTGTCATCCTCACAATTACCATACAGTTACAAGCAATAGTGGTCGCTAATGACCTAGAAGTTGATGCGACCTTAAATAAATTTAAAAAAAAAAAATCTTTATTGTCCTGACATACTACGACCACATATAGTGTTTGTAAATGAAATACTTCTATTCATCTGATACTATAGCAAAACAATTTTTCATATGAAAGCAGCCAGTTTACATCTTCTTAAATATTATATCACTTCTAAAATCATGAAACAAGAAGATAGCCATATAAAACCTGTATTTATATCTGACTACATCATTTATCTGGAGTCCAAAAGGTCCTCCTATACATGAAATTTCTCTTCCAAACTCTTTATTGTTTCTCTTTATTTGAAGAAATAGATTGCAATTCAACAGAGTTTCTTTCAATTGACAATGATTTGCTTTGAAACAAATCTTGTTGTACTTGCTGGACCATCATAAAAGAACATGTAAATTTTCAGTTTGCATGTATTTTGTAAGGTCAATTAAAATTGTTGGCAGTGAATGCACCAAAAATAAGCAACAGGATGGATTCAATTCCAAAATGATGCCATCCCATATACATTTTATTATCTTTTACTAAATGTGTTTTAAACACTTTGATTTTTAACTCTGAAGGTAAAACAAAAATAATAATGAAAAGTTGAGAAATTTCAAGGTCCTATCCACAGAAGCAAAGATTTTAGAAGGATTCACATAGTGCCAGGAGTCGAAATGAAACAGCTGGGTGTTTAAGAACAAAATAATAATTCTGTTAATTATTCTTTGACCCTTGTGAATAAGCTGAAAACTAATTGAAACTAAATTTTACAGTAAAGCAATACTTTTATCTTATTTTTCTTGCTATCCTCCAATTATTCAAAATAATATTCAATCCTGGACAAAGTGTTTTCTTTTTTTAATGTTAATATCAAATCCTTGTTATAGTACATAATCAAACAATACCAATTATCTTGGTAAAAATTACCATTTTATGCAAATTTATGTTGTATTAGTAAATACACTTGCATCTATTTACTCAATAACCAGAAGGAATTTAACCCACTCAATTATATACCAACGTAGAGAAAGGAGAATCCAGTGATATACTCAACTCATTTTCAGCAAAAACCTTGACTTATCAGCTTATTCCCTGGCATCAAAGAATTATAATATAAAAATTCAACGTACACTACTATAAATATTTCTGTTGTACATGCTATCAGGGATGACTGGAAGATTGGAATCCAAATTCCATACACGTATTGTGTCATCACTTGAGCATGTGACAAAAGAACCTGGAGGCATGGCTGGTTTAGGCGCTGTGGCACTAGAAGTTTCAGCATCTAAGACTGGGTAAATGTCCACACCCCAGATACATGCTGAATGGAAGAGAAAAGAATGAGCCTTGCCCACACGTTTAATATCTCTGACATCCCATATGTACAAACTGTGATCATTGTACACACAGGTCAATTTACAATTTACTGGATCATATGCCAATGCTACAGCATCAGGATATTTTGCATTTGGAGGATGTGTAGCCATGTGACTGAAAAAGAAAGAAAAAACAACAGTAAAACCATTTGAAAATTATACAAACATTTAAATACAAAGCTATTTACTTAGCCATGTCAAAAAATTATTACAATGAAATCTATTCTGTATCACCTTTTTTTTTTTTTTTTTTTTTTTTTTTTTTTTTTTTTTTTTTTTTTTTTTTTTTTTTGATGTAGACAAGTAGAATGTAGGTTTTCTTCATTCAAAAATTTTATTATTTGTAATTTGAATGATCAGTGATTGCTATGTGTCTCTACAACAGCAAGATGATTTACCACAAATATTTTCTTATTAGCTTAAAATATTACAGCAAAGCAGAGATCCCTCACTCATCAAATTAGTAGTGATCAATGGTCATCAATGATAATAATAATTTGAAATGTGACATTGAGCATATTCATAGTCAATACATTTCTTTGTTGCTTTTAGCTAGTCTGAATTTCTCACTAATACCTATATGAATACCTCCACAAAAGCTGGAAGGATTGCTCTCTAAAACTTCACTCTTTGTAAGCACAAAGCTTCAATGAAGTAACAATGTAGTTGGATTAACATTGTCAATATTATTGAAAACAGCTACAGAGATTTAAATTAATGTATTTCTTTGCGTGTAAGAACAAGGCTTTGAATATCTTTTTTATATGCAGTGAAGTAGCACTGCTTATAAAAGCAATATATAATCGTGTTGATACACATTCTTACCTAATAGAAAGACCCTGTGACACATCCACACCCAAATAGTGTGTTCGAGGCAATGTTGTGATAAACTGAAGAGTTGCTGGGTTGAAGCAACGGATAATACCTTCAGCACAGCCAATGAAAATTAAATTTTCTCCCACAGTCATACAATTGGCACTTGTGGTCTGAAAAATGCAATACAATAAATTCACAAAGCCTTTAACAAGAAATATAATGTTGTTTTTTAGTTTTTGTTATATTCATAGTGTCTTTTATGCAAGACATTTAAGTTTAGCTCTTTTTGGTCCCTGAAAGTATATACATTGGAGTCATCCTCTGTTAAGTTATTTTTCTCGTAACATAATGAAGCAGTCAGTGGATGCCTTTTAGCTCTTTGGCTGTGGGCTCTGTGCTGTTAGTAACTAAGGTTCTCAGATAGTCGCCCATCCAGGAATTCGAATGGTGGTGTCTTGAATTGCTTAAATTCCGTGACTTCCCCCAATTAGTCATGAAAAAGAAAATTGAAAATTTGGACTATGTAAATGCTATTGAAGCTTCATGAACTTACTATTCTATTTGTATGGAGTTATATTAAGTTCCAAATGTTTTAAATTCTTTAATGATATTTCATAAAAACATCCTATTGTTTTCATAACACTCAAGGACGATGATAGTTGTTGTTTTTGGCACACAAAACAAAAGTCCACTCGATACAACAGCAATTATAGGTACATAAAATCCCTAAGAGATAGGCAAAAAGCAATGCTTTTCTTTAGAATTAAGAAAATTATTTTTCTTCCCCTTTCCAGGATAGGTCTATGACCAGTTCTAGCTTCTAAAAATTCCATCTTTTCAGTGGTCTGCCTAGGTTTCTTTCACCTTGGGGTCTGTCTGGGACCACTTTGCACAAATGCAATTCAATTCTTTCAAAATGTTGTAACCATTTCTGTCTGTAAGGTAATACTTTACCATTGATGCTTCAATTTAATTATTTTCTTTTAGAACTTTATTTATGATACTATTTAACCTGGTTCTCGACAGATAAATCTGAGATTTCTGCGTTTCTATTGAAATTGGTTGAAAGAATTTCTAGAAGGTACTTTTCTGAAAAACAAGGTTGAAAATGCCTTACTTTGGGGCATTTTGCCAAAATCATCAATATTTAAAATAATGATAATATACAGGAGTTTGAAATTTTGCATTAAGAAACATTTACATTATGTTCATATGAGCCAAGTTTTACTTTTAATCCTTGAAAATGAAAGAAGATATTTAAAGATAATATGTGGATTATTTTTCTAACACTAATTTTTTCAGCGTTGCTGCAATGTACCCACTGTGATATACGAAATATTCTCAAGGGAAATTTGATGCCAATTTATATGAATAATACCATACTTTAGAAATTTGGAACCAGGAAATTACACTATCCATTGCATAATACATTTACAAAGGGGACGTGTGGTAGCCATTTGGCTATGATGAAAATAGAATGAAAATATTGCAACAGGAGTTTTAGGACTCATGAGTGTTCAAGGCTGGACAGGAATATTCGATGTTGGATTCTCATGATGTAAAGTAAACACTGTCATGATTTGGGACGGGACAGATTTTAAAATATAAATTTTTATTTAGGTATCTATTTTAGGTAGTTGTTATATACTGGAATGAGGAAGGAACGGCCAATCAATAGTGGTTCACTTTAGAGTCGGGCAGGTGTCACAACAGAATAAGCGACTGTCTGCAGATGGGTTAAAGCCAATGGCACAATTTGATATAGAAGAAAACAAAATATTGCATTACAAATGTACAAAAATCGTATAAGTAATACTATACAATGAAGTGGCCATGAGGTTTGACAAACCACTGCATATCAAAAACTATTTCGCCTAAGAAGCTATAGTTTCACAAACGTTCCTTTGAGACATTTGGGACACACTACAAAATTTCATCAAAATCCAAGATGGTAATGTGGGGAGTCTTAAGACTTTTTGAGATGGAACAACCTGTCTTTGAGTTAATGAGCTTCATTACCGTGATCAGGGCAGGATTTCATAAATACGATCTTCCTTTCCAGTAGCAATCTGTTCCTCAGAGCAAACAACCCTCAACACAGTAGTATTATGCAAGGTTAGTGGTTCACTGCTAACCTACTTACTACTCTCATTCTTGTTCTGATTAGTGGAAATATTACACATGATTGATAAGTATATGAAGGATCAGTTAAACCTTTCATGTTTTCACATCTCGAATTCTTATAAATACAGTTTTGGACACTTAGATGGCTCAAAGAAGGTTTATATAATAAAGATACTGAATGGTAGATCTTCAACGCTTTTTGAACAACAATTAAGTCCCAAATACATATTTTCAATTAATTTCTTTTGTATTCGCATGCACATAATACCAATATTAAACTGATTACTAACCCTGAGCTCCACCCACTTGTCAAGTAGCCTCCTATTGTTAAATTCACAAAGCAAACCCGACTTTGTGATGGCATATGTTGAGTCTCTCTTGTCACCTCGACCACATGCTACATCACAGAAATAATTATTGCGTTGCTCTCCTAAAATAGCTGATCGGCCCATAAGAGGCACTGTATCTTTGTACTGCAACAAAATAAAGATGATTAGTGATAATGATATTAGATAATTACTATAAACATATCTCCAAGAAATTTCAAACAACCCAAATGTTCTTAACACTACCTTTGCAGAGCGGGAATACTCAAGGTACCAGAACTTAACATGTCTATTTCCAACAGTTACAAAATAATTGCCACTTTCTGCAAACGACACTGCTTTGACTTTTGTAGACACCTTGTTGGAAGCAACTTTTATATTGGCACGCCAATCCCACACATTCACGATCATGTCGTGTTGAGATCCCACTGATACAACATATTTGTGGCTTGGAGAAAAGGCCTGAAACAAACAATTTAAACGAATATAAATAAAGTTTCAACTTATCAAAAAGTAATGAAAACGGGTAGAACGCTGGGACGTCCGGAAGGCTTCCGGTGCCCGAGAGGGCAGGAGGCTTGGTGAAGCCGTGATAAGCGAGAGAGAGAGAGAGGGGGGGGGGCGCCACTCACCACGCAGTTGATGCCGTACTTGTGGCCCGCGAACTCCGCCACCTGCTGCGCCGCGGACGCCGCGGCCGGGGAGCCGGGTTCGGCGGCGGAGGGCGCCAGGTCCCACACGCGCACCGACGGCAGGTGGCCGCATTCGCCCGTCGCCAGGTAACGCCCGTCCGCCGAGAACGCCACGCTCGTGATGGTCTTCCTTGAGCTGTTGAGCAGGTGGTGCTGGCGGCCTTTGCGCGGGTTGAACAGCACCACGGTGCACCTGAGGGCAGAGGTTCGCTCTTCCGTCAACTGTCACGTTCACAACGAGGGGCGGTCGTGGCATGCACGGTGGAATATTGGTAAAAACCCTTCTTACGGTTTAGCCGCTACGTTCTTTTTTTCTCGCAGCATTACAGCGAACATGTTTTTACGTTTTCGCCTACTGCTTACAACAGTATAGAGTATAAAGAGGTATAGAGAAAGTGCTGCCGGGGAAAAAGGCGAATTTTCGGCAGAAAAACTCTTACTGCCGGGTCCTGGTAACGAAAGGCTGGATAAATCCGTCTTTCTATGTGAAGTAAATTACTTCCTGTAACACGTTGTGGGAGTCACAATCCACGTTTCGTGGGTCCTTGATACCGAAAAATTGATTGACGGCAAAACGGCTGTCTGTGAAGAGCGCTAGAGGCTAAACCGTGAGAACGATTTTCACTACAATTTAGGTACCCCGACCGATTCGACTAATGTCGCTACCCCTTTGAATTTGAAATGGATATTTTGATTTTTGAGGAGTACTTTGAATGAAGTGTCAACATTTTCTATTCCCTCCCCAAAATGGCTCCAATTTTTCCTTCCTTTGATAGAGTAAAAACGCACAAAGAAATGGTATAGGTCGCATTTTCGTTGCACTCTTCAAATTTTTCAAAATTGCAGAAGTTCAAATTTTTTTGGCGTCTGCCAACAGCTACAACATTGAAATTAGATTTTTTCTTAACAAAATCTGTTCATCAAAAACAGAACTTTAAATATGTCTATAATTAAATTTTAGAAAATACTATTATTTGGGGGGGTATTTGTGTGACAAAACAGCCTTTAAAATAAAATTAAACAATTTTTCCGAAAGCGGCTCAAACTGTTTTCTTTAATTTTATTTCCACGTATGTAGTAAAGAATGGTAAAAAAAGTGGTGCAGGTCTCATTTTCGACGAACTCTATATTTTTGAAAATTGCAACTGGCGTGGCGCCAATACGGCTACGCGGCAATGTAAAATATTTTGTTGGCGGTCGCGATGGTGGTATGGTGTTAATATGAAAGGAAACTGATTTAAGGGAAGTAAAATATTCAATTAAGATCTAACAAATTACACAGCTTTTAATTTGAAAAGTTTGATCCTTTATTACAATATTTAAAAAATGGAAGCTCATTTCGATGTACACAATTCGGCCAAGGTATATCAGTGCATCAACAGTAGTGCCTGTCACCGGGAGGACTTAGGGTTCGAGTCCTGACGGTGCCAGGATTTTCGTCACTAGACAGCTATATCGAATTCATTCGTCTGGAGGAGAATTCTAGCGGCCGGCTGCTCTGATCGGTTGTTTTCCGTGGATTCTCTGATCAACACCAGGCGAATGCCGGAGCATCACCCTAACAAATGTGCCACGTACACTAGTCGGGAGAATAGAGCTTGCCCCGGCGGGGGCGGTGCCCCGCTGGGGGGCGACACCTGGTTGTGGGAAAACCCCCGCAAGCCGACGTAGGTGCCGGGTCTCGCCAGCCAGAGGAGGGAGATCACCGCCAACTCCCGCGATGAAAGCGGGACTAATGACCTTCACCACTGACGCGCCCGGAGTCAATCAATCACTCGACGTAGGCAAGGGAAGCTTGTGCGAAATTTGTTATAATTTCTTGTACAATGTGCCACAAATATTGTAACAGTTAAAATTATTGTTTTAAATCGCTTTTTAACTGCTTGATCATAGAGCGACCACTGAGATTTATAACATCACGGACATGTACACACACACAAACATCCATGCCCGAGGCCCTCCAGCCTTAGCGACCCCGGCAATCCATGCCAGCTTATTTATGTTTGATACATTTGTAGATGTAAGAAATGACTAGACCGATTGTTTATGACTATAGAAATAAATGCAGATATTAATCACAGGCGCATTGTTTGAATTGGACTTTTTCACGTTATAGCTGAGGTGTTAGTATGGCAAAAATTGCAACATTAAAAAATTACGTAACTGTTTTCAATAATGCGAGAAAATACGTTGTCCTCAGATTTCCTGCAGCATTACAATACTTTCTCTACACTGTATAAGCAGTAGGCGAGAAAGTAAAAATCAACATAAAATATCACAGAACAGTTATGTTCCTTATTGATTTATGAACTTCGCGCTCATGTTAGGATGAACAACCAACGAGCAACTAGCGTGTCTAGGCGACACATTCGGAGCACGAATATGAACAGTTCAAGTTTCAGAAAAGCCGGACGTTATAGTCTGGAGGCGGTACTTTACTGTCACCGGGATCTGTGCGTTGCAAGGGTGCTGATCAATGGGAACATTCCATTCTCATCACGTTAAAAACTGTTTTAGAATACAAATTACGAAAAATTTCACGTTCGCTTGGATAGGTGTACTAACAGTTGATACTGGGCATTTTCGTTTAAATTTGCACGGGCAAATTCCGTTGACATTATTCCCAGAATTACCTGTTGTTCACTGTAATAATGCGAATGAGGTTTTTACTTTCTCGGGTCTACGTACGTAGACCCGAAGTAATACACGTAGTATAGGGAAAGTTATGTACTGCTGCGGCGAAAAGTGCCGTTTTTCGATAGAAAACTAGTATGTATGGCCTATTGTATGGCTCTCCGATAGAGTAAAGGATTTTCACAATTTTATAAAAAAAATGGCTGCACTATTTAAAAAAAATCTTGTGCGATATTATAATGAAAATCACTTAAAAAGATGATCTAGGTCCGGTTTCTAGTGTTAAACCAGAATTTTGAAAAATTACATGTTTGACATTTTTAACCCCTTTGTACACACACATTATTTAAGGTGGAGATTTTTTCTCCAAATAAAATTAGGAGAAAACACAACTAGCTGCTTAATTAATGTCATAATTTAAAACCTTTGTTCGCACAGAATCTTCTGAAGTGAAGTATCTGTAATGATGGTGTTCAAAAATTGCTGGGAAAGTGCTTAAAAGTTGCAACTTCTTAAACGTTTTTCCTTAGGAGCCCACGATGTTAATGTTAATGTAATTTATTCCTCTATTTTAGATCATTAAATGATTCCATTACATTAAAAAAATATAAGTAGATGTTGAGTAATTTTGACTTCACGCACCTCTAAATGTTATATTTGGAGTTCTCTCTTTAAAGCAGGCTGTTGAAGGGGGGAAAGGTTCGCAAAAAGGAAATAGCTTACTGGAGTTCGTGTGCACTGCGTCCAGAGCAACTAGCGCGGGATTCAAAAGTAAGGCTTGTAGCAATGCCCCGGAGGATTGGCGGTATGTCACTGGCACATGACAAATCTTTCGGAGAAGTTAGTTGACAGTTATTTTCCAAATGTAGCTGTATGCATAAATGGTATTCAAAAATGTACGTTTTTGTGTATAAAGGAACTTAAAAATGGGTCGATTTTGAAAAAGTTCGAACCAAATTTTCTCAAGAACTGATGCGAATGTTTTCTCGAAAATGTCGACATGAGAAAAGAGTTCAGGTTTCTATGATAATCCAAAAGCCTTATTTCGATGACGACATTTCGAGCCCGAAAAATGAAAATAAAAAACTGAATTATGTAGATATTTTTTTAATTACAGTGCAAAGCATATCGATTAGACAGGAACGAACAGTAAACGATAGCTGTAATTGAAATGTTGCAAAAATTCGGTGTAGTGAATATAGTGTTTCAGGTGTACAATATTGAAAGAATAATACGGTGTGGTATATTTGTCTTCGTAGTGTAATACTTACGTAGTGACTGTATTTCAAGTACATTATTTGGAATCGTGTGATAAATGTGAAATAGGTTGTTCGTGTTGTGAACCGAGTCGGGATGACTTCGCGTGCTTACAAAATGTCAAGTGATGAAGGCTAGAAATCGGTTACCATGGCAAGAAGTTTGGATAAATAATGTATTCTAACAAGATCAAATGATTCAGAGATTCCATGTTCTGAATATAGTGGTTTGTAAGTGAAATATTGAAAGTATAATATAGTGTGGTATATTATTTTGTCATCGTAGTTTACTATTACGTAGCGATTGTATTTCAAGTGCATTCGTTGGAAGCGTTTTATAACAGAAATAGAAATCGTGTGGTGTTTTTGTTTGAAGAATAAAAAGCGATGCGTTTTTTACCTATGTCAGCATTTAAATGTCCTAAAGAGAAACCGCTAATGGATAAGTGGTCGAGTAATGTTTGTGAGCAACGTTAATGGCTGACAATGAATGATAAAGCTCTATTTGCGATCATTTTAAATAGTTTGTGGTTCTATGTTTGTGATTAGCGAAAGTATTTTCCTTGTTTTAATGGTCGAAGCGTGTCCTTTTTTAAAATATCAACATTTGTGAACTATGACCCCCATGACTTCCATCCCATGACTTTTTCATACTTGCAGAGTTATCATCCAGTAAAAAATTCAATAATGTAAGAAAATATCATGAAGAACTCAACAGGAAATTTTACAAAGAGATGAGGAAAATTGCATTAAGTCATATTAAGGACATAATAAAACGATCATTATATGAATTACAGGCAATATTTATATATTTTTTTCTCAAAAACCGGCTCCAATTTTTTCTTTATTTTTTTTTATTCCTCGGATAGAGCAATGGACATAAATAGACGCATGTCTCATTTTTGTTAAACTGCCTGAATTTTCGAAAATTCCAAAATTTAGAAATAATGAGCAAAAGTATGTGCTCTTGTACCACTATTCTACTACAAGGGGACAGAAAAATCGAGAGCATGTGAAAATACGTTTTCGATGCAGTTGGAAGAGACTTTTCGATGTCTTCCTGCAACTATTCCTGCACATTGAATATAGTTTTTTCTTAATAAAATCTGTTCAAAGATAGCTCTTCAAATAAGACCATGAACAATTTTTCAAAAAGGTGTACTGTTCGCGTAATATTGCGGAAATCTAGGAATTTTTTAAACAATTATTTTTTCCAAAAACTGCTCCTTGGTTTTTCTTTAAATATTTTTCTCAGAGCAAAAAGTTCTTAATAATGGCGCAAGTCTAATTTTCGTTGAACTCTCCGAATTTTCGAAAATTTCAAACAAAAATGAACATTGCACATCATTAATAGGGATTGTTCCTTAATGAATCACATTCCTTAAAACTACATCTTTAAACCGTCAGGAAGGTTGAGTTTATCTGAGAGTTTGTTTGTAATGGGGTAATGTGATACTACGTAGCCGTTACAAAAAAGAGAGAAAGTTTGTACTATTGTTGCACCACTAGTTTTAAGACAGTTTCTAAGATACGCGAAGACCACTTATCTGCGAAGCTAGCATAAATCCCTCGCCTAAATGTCTTGGAGACGAATCCAATGTGATTCAAGATTGTCTCCAAACGCTATTGCCATCTTTAACATCGAATTGTGTATGTAGCCAGACGAAAGTAATATAATGTTTGGGTAATCAACAAACAATAACACGTGGGGCAATGGTATTCTCCGTAGTACTCACCCAGCGGGGTAGGCCACCACTTCAGAGTTGGGGTCACAGTCGAGCGCCGCATTGCTGGTAACTGTCAGACCAATCACCCGCTCGAGTTTCACCTGCAACAAAGAAAGAGAATGTGAGACAACGGGAAGGCAAGGAGCAGCCGCACCCCTTCGCGCCGCGAACAACGCAGCTCGGGTCATCCTGGGCACCAGCACTTTGTACATGGCTGATACGTAGCTGTGCGCACCCTTCCAAAACTGTTTCTTTCTTTTCCAGAATTCCCTTCCAGATTTGTTTGTACAGAAACATGGCCTGCCAGACTGAACTCTTTTTGGATGGAAAAAAACAAAAAACAAACAACAACACACGATGCGCGATTTTCCCGTACAATTTGACCATAACAATCATGAAACATATGACACCGCTTGTTCGTGACGATTCCATAGCTAATTAACAGCATTTGCGTACGCCTAGCAGAAAATCTTGTTCAATTTCCTCCTTCAAATTCAGAATGTGCAAATAGTTACCTACTGAAACTCTTCCAAGTTAAAGAAAGAGTTTCGGACAATCTGGGAAGCTATTTAACGTGCGCAAGTGAGATAATTGTTGTGAGCTATGCAACAACATGACGTATTCAATTTTTTTTTTATTAAAAAAATATCGTGGACAAATATTTCCGCAGGTAATAATATTAACATAACAATACATCAGCAGAAGTATCCCGCGATACGTTATTTATTTATGAAAATCGTCAATTAGAAAAAGAAAAGATGCTCTAGCGAAGTCGCTTGCCTTTCACCACCGAGGTTCCGGGTTCGATTCCCGTAGAATCTCATGTGAAATTTGTTACGATAAAAAGAGTTTGTTCACAGGGGTTAGTCCAACCAACTGTGAAGTGTCCTAAACCTTAGCCCTATCCTTATTCCTTTCCACTTCAGGCCTCTGGGTAGTGACAGAGGAACGCGTGGTAGGAGGCGCGTACGTGGAGATGCGACCCGGCGGTCCTCTTGACAACTGACTACGATACGTGACATGACATACTAGTAATAGAGGATTACTCCTAAATTAATGAAGGATTACTCCAAGCGCAAAGCGCTCAACGCCCCACAAAGGGCTTGGAAGCGCAACAAATTAAAATTCTATCTATAGTGTATTCCTGGCCTGGCCTTCTTCTTACCTCCCTTCTTGCCCCTCTCCATGACATACCATGCCCTGCTCTGCCCTGCCCCATGAAATTTTACAGAGATACCGACTTTTCCCTTGTTTTGAAAGTCGCGAGTAGAACTTTTTTTTTTAGATCGGAATAAAACTGTATATTAATATGAAAAAACAAGCATACTTCCTTTAGAAGAAAATAATAATTTGAAAAAGCGTAAATTATTTTCGAGAAAACCCTATTCCTTTCAGTGAAAATCGCATGGAAATCTGTTTGTTTGTTTATTTCAAAGATTAGTTCGAACACAGGCAAAACCCGTAAAAAAATTAAATTTGCCTTTTTTTTATCTTCTAAAATAGCATACCCACAGTGAAACCTAATTAAGTGGTCACCTCAACTAACGGCCATTTTTCCGTGGAACCGACTAATTTTTCCATAAGCAAAGTAAATCATACCCCCTATTTAGTAGCCACCTGTCAGAGGATGGTTTTTATTATTTTATTTTATATTTAATAGGTAATTATTACAAACGTAATTGCATAATTTGCTACTATGTGGCTAGACCAAAGGCCTTCAAGCGATTATAACATATATACCATACCGAATTCTAACCTTTCGAATTCCCGTATTCACCCGAAATCTCTATCGCATTATTATAAATATATATCAATGAAACAACAACGCGTTCCTATGGTTTGCTAGCTCGTACTCCCCTGCTGTGGGTATATGTTAATGACTAGCGGAGCAAGCCGCGTGCAAGATTCCGATCTAAAGGCCATTCACTCACTTCGTCTTCATCACACCGCCATGTTGTAGAGTTTCTACTGGATAAGAATTGCATCTCCAAGTCTAGCTCGCTTCTTTGTTTCAGTGAGGACGGAAAAAGGCGTATTCGACTAAGAGAATGAGTGACAAGCCAAGGGGTCAAGGGTTTGTTTCGTATTAGCCGATGAGGAGGCAAATTTACTAAATACCTTGATTAAACTGTATTTTGTTGTTTATGATAATTTAAAATGTTAAAGAGAACATAAAATTCAGTCACAGCTTATTCCAACAAACCTTCAAAATAAAGGAAAAGAAAGCTGAGAATGTTTACTACCAAATATATAGTATATTATGCAAGTGAAATTATTCACACATCAATTACTGTATAATAGTGCAAATTTGATAGTAATTACCACTATTAGGAATGATGTAGGCTTCCAGGAACCCCATAGATGTAATCAAGCGGCCACCTCTATTGATCAATTTTGCTGAAAGCACTGGTGACCTCACTCTTACAATGTTTATATTTTCTCTGATTGTCTAGAGTGAAATTTCATGTAACTGAGATCAATGTCATTATAAGAATTATTAGGACACAAGTGTTATAATATAATTGAAGACTTCAGGGCAATAACATGCTATGGCACAATACGTACTTTTGAGGAAAAGGAGAGTAAATGTTTAGACATTGCATTCTACACATATGGATAAAGAACTTATGAATTACACTGCCGTCTTGCGGTAAATCTTTAAATCACAGCATCTAATTGCATCTATGGCGCATCGAAAAACACTAATATCTCAATTTCATCAAAAATGTGGCACAAAATGTTATTGCCCCAAGGTCTTCAATTCTATACACCATGTAACATACTACACTATCATTCTTCAATAGCGCATTGTAATAAGAATGTTTTAAAATACTTAGGTACTAAATAAATATTCTTATTCGCGAGACTTTTGGATTCCAAAGAATTGGCAAAAGAATTCTGAGTCACTGACAGGAATATGCCCCTCGGGTGACTCGCGGACTAGCTTTCCGTGGTTCGATTCCCCGCCAGGTCAAAAATAGAGCTGTAGCTTTAAATACAATCGATTGAGTTTCCATAGCCGAGAGTACCTTATCCACAGGCTTGGATACCTAAAACAGTGTCCAAGCCTAGCAACACCGCTAGCTGGTTAAAGTTGGATTAATCCGACTGTACACTTATATGCCAAATACATTTATAAACTTTCAGAAAATGAATAGTCAGCATAAAGACACCGAAATGGAAATATAGAATTATCACGATACAATAAAATGAAAACAATGAAAAAACGTTAGAAAGGGACCGCTATTAGTACTTTTATTAAGTATATTATTCTGTACTATTATGTGTAGAAACAAATGTTTTTAAGCGATAATCTCAAAGAAATTAACCAATATGGGCAAAACTCCGGTCTCAGTTTCATTTGAAAGTATGGAGTGTTAGTTTATATTTTACAGCTATAAACTCGTACACTGTGTTCAGACTTACTCCACCAAATTGAAACCACACCGCATAACCAAAGACGAACACATTTCCAGAGAACCATCAGCAAATTTATCAATTTTTCTCACTAAATATTAATTTGCGCGTGCTCACCGAAAGGTCCGGCGGGGACTGCCGATCTCGCCAGCGAGTCAGCCGGCGCCGCGCCGCCTGTTCAAATAACGGCACAGGCCGCGAGGCTCATTACGGGAAACTAATTCCGAGCGTAACTGGACGCTGCGTTGGGCTAGCAACCGTTTTCGCCCCCGCCACCGGACACCTCTGCATCCTATTGAATCCTAGTGTGCTACACTGAATAATCCAGTCAGCTCTTGCAATGCCATATGGTGGCACGTTAAGAAGCCTGCATATCCCATTTAAACGAACGAACTCCTAACGTACCAGCTGAACTCTCTGGAATTGCTTTAGACATAGGCGCCTGCTTGGGAAACCCAGCGCTCTTATAAGCGCTGCCAGCTCTCCCGGATTCCGCTCTCATTTCTTCTCCAAATCCACAAAGAGCGACAAATTATATGCGAGCGATGAATTATATTAATACAGATACATTTGGGGAAAATAACTCTCAACTAACTTCTCCGAAAGATTTGTCATGTGCCAGTCCGTACCGCCAATCCTCCGGGGCATTGCTACAAGCCTTACTTTTGAATCCCGCGCCACTTGCTCTGGACGCAGTGCACACGAACTCCAGTAAGCTATTTACCTTTTCCCCTTGAACAGCCTGTTTTAAAGAGAGAACTCCGAATATAACATTTAGAGGTGCGTGAAGTCATAATTACTCAACATCTACTTATATTTTTTAATGTAATGGAATCATTTAATGATCTAAAATAGAGGAATAAATTACATTAACATTAACATCGTGGGCTCCTAAGGAAAAACGTTTAAGAAGTTGCAACTTTTAAGTACTTTCCCAGCAATTCGGGCTACGTCCAACGCCTCGTCTTACGTGAGGTATCTAACAGGACGCCGAGATACTGAATTCAAACGAATGCGTACCAATACCCACAATATTGTTTAATACTTTCTAGTCTAAACATCGTTATAAAGAAAATGTAAATGGTGGTCTGAATTTCCCAAACGGCTGAAACCAGGCAAATTATTTCCGTTTGTAGTTTACATGGGGAAATAAACTCATTCCTAAAGTAATATTCCCCCAAAATATTGTTATTTTCTTAATGTTGATTGATTGTATGCAGAATACTATTTAATACGATGCAGCATACGTTGTGTAATAATATTGAATTGTGTCATTAAGAAGCGGCTTTCTGTGAAGATGCAAAAAATGAACGGTGAGAGGTCTTCTATTTGTTCTAGAATTTGTCGGATAAACTTATCTGTTTTCTGCCGGTTCTCGCCGTCAAATTTTGACGGGTGCCCACTACTGAAAGATTCGGGCGACATGAAGAAAAACTTGACGCGCTTCTAAAAGTGTGTTGAGTGAAGGCAGATTCTTCAGAAAATGTGTAGCCCCTACGGACGAAGAACAATAAGGGTCATATTTCAACACGGTTTGTATATTATGATTATATCTGCGTTTAAGAGCAAATATGAAATTCTCTTTAACTTCAGAAGCCAACCGACGACCCTTTCAAACTAAGATTGCTTTCCATGAGGTATTCGCGAACCATTTCGCAAAAGAGCAATTTTGGGTGACAAGAAA